TGCTGTCCTCCACTAGCGAACCAGAAGATTAGCTCTCTCACTTTCTTACAAAATAAGACAATGAAAAATTTTTAATGAAGCTATGGGGGATACAGACTGTTTCTCCAACTCTTTAACTTACAGCTTGATTTAGTATTAGCACACCACTGAGAGGTTCCACCTGTTATAGAACATACCTCATCTAGAGTACCTTCTTTATCTCCCAAGAAGCCTGACCACCAGATCTCACAAAGTTTGAACGTCCCTTTTGATAGAGCCACAGACTCCTCACAAACAATGCGCCACAAACCCAACCAGCTCAGTGATACGTATGGTCCTTGTAAGTGCAGATGATCTTGAGTTTTGCTTGTTTGCTAGCAAATACTAAAGGCTTAAGACAAAAACCTTCCTAGCTCTGTCCCTTCGAGACCTTTCTGCGATAAGTGCATGCCTCTAAAGGTAATGTTAGTGTCTGCAAAACACAACCCATACCAGAGAAACAATGGCTTAATAAGCTACAGAACACACTGGTAAGTTCTGGTACTTCAAGTGGTAGAACATAAACCAGAAGAAAGTTCATTAATCATATGTAGTTTCTATCTCACCAACAATGCTTTCCTCCCCAAAACCCTTTGTCTCCTTTACTCCTTTTCCTCAGGGAGAAGAATATACCCACTGGTTGATGTTATCTTTAATAAATTCCCCCACAAGAAAATGAAGTGTATCAGCAAGTTTAGCTTCTAGAAGATGATCAGAATGTTTGTTGAAGGTGGGATTCAGATGATACACAAATTTGTATGCTACCCAAGCAGAGTTTTGTGAAAGGTGGATCAATATTGCTTATGCTAAGTTCTTCCTGGAGAGTATGCAGCCTTCTAAACTTTGGGGCCAAATTGAAACATGGAGATACTATGGTTGGTAACTGCTGAAAGTTCACAAGTACTAGAAGGCTCCAGGGTGAAAAACCTACATCCCAAGTTACTAAACAAAGGACATGATGTTATTTCTCATCTCACCTTTGCTGAGCTATTTTTTATCCTTTGTAGACAGACAAGTGACACTCCCTGAACATTCAGGAAGGCTGAGGGCTAGAAGATGAAATTCACGTGGGATTCATGCACAGTGTTATGGGACCACAGGGAAAACCGACTCTCTTAACTATTCAGATCAGGGCTTTCCATGCTGGCCTGCTTGGAACCAAATAAAAAAATTCTTTCCCTCTCCCTCTTTTTTAGTAAGTAAAGGGTCCCTAAGCATTCTGATATAGCTGCTATAACTCTTGTCAAAAGCCAACATGGTGCAGGGGGCTCTATACCATTTCTCACATCATGGATGTACCTCACACTGTGGGGAGAGAATATTTGTCATTTGACTACTCGCATTAGCAAGCCGGAGAACGAATTCTCACACATCCAAGCCATATAAAATTCCAACAATCAGGTACTACAGCTATTTTATCTTACTTTACCTAGCATTATGTCTGATCCACATGCTTCAGGCAAAAATATCTGCACCTCAGTTGGTCTCCTCAGGGGCTTGTGCTCCTTTTATGCATTGTCTCAGTAGATAGAAAATGTTTCTAGTTATACATTGGAGGTATTTCTGCTTTCTGTTAATATCTTGAAAGTTGCAGGATTCACTCCCTTCTGGAGTAAAAGGAAATGACAGTTATTACTGCCTGTTATTGCGCACCAAAATAGGAAGAAAGGATGAGACAGGGTTGGAACTCAGTAAAAATAAGGAAGAAAAACAATTCTTTGGTTTGATACATTGAAAGCAACATTAAATACATTTCTATGGTCAACCTACCAATTCCATCATAGACTTCCCAAACTCTCATAGAAGTCCATACAGCTGACCTGGTGCATACAGAGGGGTCCTAAGGATTAGGACACACCAGTAAATATATGTCTGACCAAATTTAAGTACTTTTTAGTGTTGTGAAATAATTCATGATTTGCTAACAGCAAAAAGTACTATGAGTACTTTAGGCTGCTGGTAAAGAAAGCACATTGTTATTGGAAGAGCCTCATACTTACTCTATGGCTCCCAAAAACAGTATTTTGTCCCTTCTGTGGAGCATTCACAGTTTCATGCTATGGCCCCAGCTCCTATATTAATTAATACTTTCCACCTCTCAAAGTCCACGCTACAAAACATCTTTTCTGATCCACATTCCTCTTCTAATTGAGGAAGAGAAGGAAGAGGACCTGCAGACTAGGCAACGCATGATATTGCTGATGTGACATGATGATTAGCCTGCCAGCTGCTACCCTCAGCTGCCAGGCCAGCCAAAGAAGGAGAAAAGGCTGAACTCTTCATTCCTTTCCCTTTCACCTCTTCCCAGCATCAACTTTCATAAAAATCTTTTAAAACATAATGCTGAAACCACTGCCCCTCCATCAAAGCTGCCTGATACTGCCCAATGAGTTAAAGAGATATCAGAGCAGTAGATTAACAGAAAGACACAGACAGCAATAAGCTTTGACCTCTCGGCAAACAAGGCTAACCAAGGTTACTGTCCCATATTATTAGCACCCAAAGAGCTTTCCAGAGAGGCATTCTTTTCCAGGGGAAAAAGAAAATAAATCAGTAACATATAACAAAATCACAGCCATTATCTTTTCTTTCTTTAGACACACTGATAACTTCTCTGGCTATGAAGTACAGGACAGGGGATGTTCAGCTGCTTGCAAGAAAACAAAGTTGCATGGCGTTTCCTGCATGTCTGCTTTTGAAGTGGAAGACTGCTCTATTGCTTCTGAAGACTGGCCAGTATTGCAGTTCAGAATGTGTATTAATGAGTAACTAGGTCAGGCTTTATAACTGAAAATGTGAATTTAGACTAAGTGAAAGATCTCTTCCAGTCATCTAATAAGAACCTGAAAGCTGGCCCTTTGCCAAAGAACAAGTGTAAAATCAGGTTGCTATCTGATAGATTCTCAGTAAGACATATCACAAGCTTCTGATGACTGATACCCAGAAGGCTGGGCAGAATGAAAGACACTTTGCTTGCCTTCTACGGATTTGCTTTCACTTGTTTTAACTATGAGTCATAAATTCCCACTGCCCTCTTCAGTACTAGCAACTCAGTTACCATGCTGAGCCTAAATGTGCTGTACAGGTAACAAGAAGATCTATGAAATAATACTGCATGAACTAAATGTTTATTGCTTGACAGAAGCAATACTCTCTAAAAATGTGGTCAAATGGTTCAAAAGAAACAGAAAGCCCTAATCCTTATTTTGATTTGGAAAGTAATTCTATATCCTGTCTAGTCTTGACCAAGACTTCTCATCATCTCTGCAAAACTGTAAAAATTATTTTATTGGGGTGTTGTGAAGTTTAGAGTTTGTAAAGAATAGAACAAGTAATTACTGTCAGTTTCTGTAGAGGGCTTTTGATATTCAGTTTGCATTGTATGCTCAGAAAAGGGGCTTTTGATAGTCTCTCTTAGGCACTGCATAGGCAGTTAATCATCTGATTTTAGCAAACATGGTTCTGAAGAAGACAAAAGCAAATTTTTAAATATTTTATTAATCAAACAAATGAATAAAATGTAAAAAAAACCCCAGCCAGTGTTATACTCTATAAATTGGCCTTAAAAGACATCCAAAACAATGGACTGACCAAGTATTTGTTATTTACAGTTCAGAAAAATATCTTCTGGTGACACAAATGCTCTCAAGGTCTGGAAAGATCACTTATTCCCTGCCATCTGCATTTGAGAAACCCTTTCAAAGTCTGCATGAACTAAATCGATAGGATGTAAGAGAGGAGAGAGCAGGTCGCTGTGTAGGGAGACAGGGACAAAAAGCAGTTGCTGTTTCCCACACAGGAGCTGTTGTTCAGTATAAAGTGCAGATATTCCAAAACATTTTTTAACTACAGCTCATGATTTTTTTCTTATGATCTTAATACCATTTTGCACAGTATGTTTATACATTTGCAATAATGAAAGAACATTTTTTAAAGGAATGAATCTGGTTGTAACAAAAAAGCATCTGCGAAGGTGTCATTAGTGTCTCTCCAGATCTGTAATCAAATTTGAGTATCTCTTTCCAAGCAGTATTTGACTACTTTGGATTGCTCTGTGTAGACAGTACTCCATTTTGGTTACTAATGTTAACTGTTATCAGTTATCTATCACAGGTGTCAGTGTCGAGCTTTCCTGGATTCTTCCGCTCTGTGTTAGCAGTTATCTGCAGTGTATGAAATGGGGATATAACTGATTTATTCATCCTTTTAGCATCAGGAGTATCTACAGTAACCGTACTAGTTAAAAGTCTAAAAAATAAAACAGGAAAATCTATAACAGAAAGAGACAGAGACTGTTGAGCAGCTGCTGAGGTGACAGGATAGAGAACCTGTAGTACAAAGATGACCATAATTACTGATTTGGGTACAGTGTGGCAAAATCAGCACACTTGGCTTTGCTGTGTGCTTTACATTCTGTTGTGTATTTCAAAGTATTACTTTGCGACTCCCTGGCCTAGAATTTTTTCCCATAAGCCTCTGTGGGCTTTTTTCCTCTGTTTTTTTAATAGGAAAAAAGCATGAAAATAGAGACTTTTTCCATTCTGTAACAATAATGCTATGGAGTTACCTCCACTAAAGATTCAACATTACCTGGTAACCTCACTGTGACATTTCTATCCTCCTTCCCAGGCAATGTAACAAGAATTTCAGGCACCAGCACAGATTCTCATTAAATTTAGTAGCGTTTAGCTGAAAGTAGTATCAAGGATAAGCTAGATTCAGTGTGCTTAAAAAAAAAAAAAAAGAGATGCCTTAAAGGTATCATTACTTCACAAATACTTCAGATTATTTCAATCTTCTTTTCTAGCTTTGAAAAGTCAGATGGCATTTATAACAACTGGAAATGTCTCTGAGATTTCTGCTCTCATTCGAGAAAATAAAGATGAATATACTGTTTTCTCATTAGCATCCTGTTTTGTGCCCCATCTCACAGGGAGATCTCTTCCAAAACTTTGCTTGTATAGTCACCATATATCGCCCAGTCACATCATGTCCAGCTGCAAATAGAAGAAACAGATTTGGAAAAAGCAGCATTGAATTCAAGTTATTTCTTACGTGTGTTTAGCACTTAGAAGACAAAACAAATTCGGAAATCTTTATGATGTAACATAAATGGACAGCACAGAACTTAATACTAAGCTGCTATAAAGTACAAAAACAAACCTAAAAATCTCATCTTCACATAATCATATATGCAATTTATAAATTTTAAAAAGTACAGTCCAAAAGTAGAAATCTGCCTGCTATTGAAGCTTCTTTAAAACTGTCTACACTATCAGCTTAAGCCTTGGAGACAGATTTGTAATGACTCAGCCCGTAAAAAATGGCTAAAATATTTATTAAAAACCCTCTTGAAATCCTTGAATTTCAGCAAGCCTATATAGAGAAGGTTAATTGAGAAGATTAAAACATCTTTTTTTTCTAAATGATTTTCAGTTTTCAACCCACATCAATAGCTGTTCTAGATCTACAAGCTTTGTTAAATGCTATTACAGTAAATTGTAACAATCTGCTATCAAATAAGCAGTCTCACTGGCTCTTTTGAAGCACACTAGAGAACACGTTTAACCTATGTAAAACCCGTGTAACTACATAGCATAGTATCTGCCATCATGAAATTACATACCTGGTTATGTTTTACAATAGCAAACAAGTAATTTCACGTGGCTCTTTTCTGACTCAATTCCTTAGGTGTTTTCTAAGCCATGCACTCTAATCTACTGCTTTAGAAGCACGCACGCTCTCTCACTGCACCTTTCAGTTACAGTTTAATTCTAAAGCCACATCATGTCTTTATGGTACTTACCAAATCATCAACATCACCACCTTCGTCTGTGGAAGGCAGAGTTTCATTTTCCTTTTCTTTCAGAGCCAAGAACTGAAAACACAAATGTATTTATATGATACTGACAAAACTCAGACCCTTAATGTTAAATTAACAGAATGTATCCTTTGTATATCAGACCAAATCCACCTGTAATTAAAAATCATGAATTAAGTTTATTCTGGTTTCCACCCTCTAAAATCATCATAAAGTACAGGAAATTTCATAAGACTTGCTTTTAAAGGATTTTATGGTGAAGTGTGTTGAACAGACAAAAGGATGTGGTTCTTCAGACAACGTACGGTTAAGCTGTAGAAGACCCTGTAATAAGATGCTGCAAATATTAGTCCCTAGTCTCACGAGGAGATGGGGAAAGTTCATAGAAGAGAAATCCTTTGAAGTCTACCAAGTCCACAGAAACAACCTCAAGCACAGGAAGTACCTGAGACACCAGTAGCTGGAGCCTGGGACTGTACACTTTTCCCTACCCATCTGTTATTGTCCACTGTCAAACATGGGATTCTGGGCTAGATGGAAATTTTGTCCATTACAGTACGGCCATGTTTATGTTCTTAAAAAAAAAAAATTTTAAAAGTAGTATTGTGTGTAGCTACAAAATGCTGAAGGACAGCAAACTGTCCCCCCATTGATATTAATACATATTTAAGCTGACCAATGGCTTGTTGAGCAAATTTCTTAAGTACAACATTCTAGTTCTGTGTGGAACTTAGAAGTTTCCCATTCAATTCAATTACCATTTAACAAATGAACAAAGACATGAATTTTAAAAAAAACCCTCAAACACGCAAGATGGTTAGAATTTAAAAATTTTTAAAAAAACCCTCAAACACGCAAGATGGTTAGATGGCCAGTCTTTAAAAATGGAAAATTCATTACATAAAATTCTATTGCCTTAGCTGCTGATACAACTCACCATATGCCTTACACTTAAAGCATGGCATCCATAAACAGAAGATAAAGGTAAGTTGCTCAGATACTATAACAACTGAAATCAAACATACAGACAATATCTGGAGTACAACCACCTCTGAATTATTTTTCTCTTAGCCTAACATAGTGAAAAAATAATAATTTAGCTAGAATAGCAGAAATACATGACTCTTACAAGTATCCAGTTGTCTAGAAGTTTTAGTTAAGGTCTCTTTACCAATATCCTTACTATAAAATCATAAATTTTCTTTTCCTCTTTAAAATGCACTTGCAGGACAAGTATGTAGAGCGGGAACAACCCTGCCCCAGATAAAAAGATGTCTGTGAAAGCTGGAGAAGAAGAAAAGCCACATTCCATGACTTTGAGTTCCATCATCCTTAATTCAGAAACAACTTCGCTATAACTCTAGATGATGAAAGACAACAGCTAGTCAGAAAATAACCACATTAAACAGGCTACAAATACCTGGTTAGAGTTTAGGTAACTCTCTTGTGCAAACAGCTGGCTCCTGAAAGCAAGCTACTGTTTACCTGAGGACTTCTTCAACTGTAACAGCCATGGAGGTTGTGTAAAAGGTCATGGGATCCCTATCAGAGCACTACCAGTCTCTGAGACAATATACTTGTGCTGTAAAAAGCTTAAATATTATTTTACATAAATAAAATGTTCTGATCCTTTTCTAGAGCAATAGCGACAGCTTTAGACAAGGGGTAAAAGACTGGGAAGTTACCTGCTGCATCCCTTTTACGGGAAAGAACCAGATATCAGATCCATTAGGATGAAAAGCAAACACATTGCTTTTGGTTAACACCAAAGACAGCACATGTAGACAACCTCTGCCTAGTTGTCTCACTACCCAGAGGTCAGACCTCTCCTACATCCTAAACAGCAACATCCAAGAGGAATGTAGAAAGCTTACTCCACAGACAACACTCATGTTTTAACATGCTGACTTCAACTTATCATATATATTTTGTAGCTGCAAAAAAAATGAGAAAGTGACAGGGCCAGAAGGAATTAGAATTTCAAGATGCCGTATGTCTGTGTATCTTTTTTGCTGGCAAAGTTCTCAATCTAGTAGTAATATAAAGCGCATACTATGAAACTAAAAGCTAATGACATTATCAGCTCTGAAAGGCTTTTTGTGCCAGATCAAATTTCATTTTACACAGTTAAGAGTCAAATGGTATTTCTGAAAGCAGCACATTTTTCAAAGTTTTCAAAATTAGCTTTCCCACACTAAATTAGGTAAAGAAAGCAAAAAGCTAAAGAAATGTATGATGAAGATTTGCAATAAATTGAAACCTGACGTTTCCATCAAATGCTGAACATGCAAAGTTTTTTTTTCCAAAACCTGTTTTACATTTATGCAAAAGCAAATTACATGTAATAGTTGTGCTGAAATCCATTACTTTCCCCAAAGCAACCAGAAAAAGCACTTGACATTTCTGCTCTTTTAACCTATCATCCTCACGCTCTAAAAAAAGTATCTCCACTATTACAGGAAAAAAAAACCCTACCTAAAATATTTTTTCTCACTGTTAGGAAAATATGCATGGATAACCTAGCTCAACCAAAAAGAAAAAAAATTTTTACGTGTTACCTCTCTATAAAGTGTCCTTGTAAGTCTTCCTTTCTCCTTCAGACAGCAACCCTATAAACCTGAAATCTTATATTCAAAACAGTACTGAAACTATCAGCTAGTGATCTGCCCGTAAGAGAAAAGGCTTTTGTGTCACATAGGACCACACTGACTGCCAATCCCCAAGACCTACACGCTTGCATGTGACCTATTACAGAGGTGAAGAAAACTTGCATCTTACTCTGCTGTGTGATATTTTAAAAAATCCAATATAAGTCCTTAGTGAAGGGTATCACCTTCAGTATAGAAAACAAATGAACCATTTTTGCAATCTACTATAGACCTAGGAAGATGCTGGCTATGTATCACACAGGAAACCTGTGGCAGGGTTTAACTGGACCAAGGAGGACTAGATTTTAGATCAGCCCCATAACCTCAAGATAAAATTTTCTATCCCTGCAGATCTTACTCCAAGGATATGCAGTCTCCCAGTTTCTTAAATAAAAAGTCATATAAAACCTTGACAGTCAATGGCAAATCAGGGTTTTGGTTTTGAATCTGGAGAGTGTGGGGAGGTAGTTATCTAGTGGGATTGCCAACTGCCTAGCTAGCAAAGAGATGCAACCCATTTATTCTTAAGTCAAGGTAACTGACATGTTAAAGGACTCTGTTGCAAGGCTGATTTCATACAATCTCTCTTATTCCTCTATTTTAAGGGGAAGTTATGGCTGTTGTAGGACCTTCAATCAATCACAAAAGAATTTCCTGTATTGCAATACCTGGCTGACTGTAGGATGACGTTAAACAGAAAAGTAATTTTGAAGTCAGTCTACAAATGCTTTGCTCCAGCTTAGCCTGGCAGCTGTAAATCTAGTCCTTGGTATGCTATAATTTGTGCCACATTCCTATGCAGGCACAGTATTTTTTAGCCACAAGCTCACAGTTAAGACAACAGTATGTTGTAAGGTCTTCATGGCTAGTAGAGATTTCCTTAAGGAATAGTGGCTATTTCACACAGCATTAGCACATTTTGAGCATCAATGGAAAGTGAAGTTCTCAAGAAACATATTGTCTTAGGAAGTTTCCAAGTAAATTCATAGCATTTGGAATATGTAACAAAAACTGATATCTTTAAAACCACCACTGGGGAAAAAAGTTGCTCTATACAATTATGTGTGATGAGAAACAGCCAGTAGGCCCTTCATGTCTAGAAAAAAACATCGTATTCCGTCATTTGTACTCTGCACATGTGCTTAGCTTTCTGGACTCTTAATTTGTTAGCTTTTTGTTTTCATAACATTTCTGTGCCTTCTTCACCTTGAGGTAAATTGTTACAAATGAAAAAAGCAGTTTCTAAAATACAGCTTTTTACCCAGTCATTAATTCACTCATGGAGAACCTACTTCTACCCCGTTCTGGTTATTGCTAATGTAAGGCCTGGAAGTTGCAAAAATCTATGTGGCATCTTTTAGAAAAGCTGCTTCTCTGCAAAGTACTTAGTGATTTTACCCACAGGTTTACCTTCAGGAGTCTGTAATATAAGGACCTTCTTTCTCCTAAACTATTTAAAATCATGGCTAGCAGCCTGATACAAGAATGCCTGTCTTATCCTCTCCACACAAATACAATTTTTGACAGCAACTCTGAATTCTGCTTTCTTTCAAACAGAAGTCACTATTCTGCCTGTTAGAATTTGCTCCTTTGTAACTGTGACATCCTTCATTCATCACTGCCGTTACTGAAGTGTTATATTTCTGTAGAAAGGATACATGCAAATACTCCAAAACTTTTGTTTCCAAAAGGATCTAACATGATCACCAATAATAACAGTATCATCTATGATGTCCATCAATCAACAAGAACGGCATAAAGTGGAAAATACTGATATCGTTGCATATATTGGTGAAAACTAGCCATAACAACTTTTTATTGCTAGAGTTTACAACGCCTTTAGACAAAAAAGTGTCCTAGTTTTTGAACTCGTGTGATAACAATGAGATCAGTGCTTTCTATGAAGTTCAGATAATGATCTTGCATATATAAATAATCTATTCCCGTTCCACTAAACTGAGTTCCTGAAGTTCCTATTCTTTGTAGAGGATATTTTCAGATAATGATGTCAATACATGCTACTTTCTAAAGACCAGTTAAAGCAAATGCTGTGGTACACGCTAGGGAATTATTTTTGCTCTGAATTGGGGCAATTTCAATTGTGTGGCAAAAGGACACTCTTCTTCCTTCATATGAATCCTATTTCCATTCATCTAAAGATTTATCCACATAAGAAAGAACCTTCTGTTCCATAGCACAGGCTCTATACAAATAGATGCTCATTAAAAAACTAATACCTTTTCAGCCTCTTCAGTAGTCACCAAACTTCCCTCTGCTTCATCTTTAGTGATCAAAGAAATTCTGTCTAAAAAAAATAAGAGATATGAAAATATCATTAGAAGGCTTCCCAAAAATGCACTTAATGTTAGAAATCAAAAAAGTCTCCCAACTTCTGAATGTGTCATCATCACCAGCAAAAATAAAAAAAATATTGCTCAAAGGAAAATGTGACTTGCATAAATGAGTCAACTATGATACAAAAATAAATTAATGAGCATATTCATAAGCTTGTGGAAGTATCCATTTAGTAAACTGCTAATATTGTGACAATCAAACTAATGAGACACTGAAATCATAGATCACAGATGAAATGCTGAAAATCTATCAGAAATTACACTTTTAGTCATTCACAGCATGCTCTTCCGTCCTTAATAGCCTTAGAAAAATTAACTCCTAACATACAAACATTTATGCTGTGATTACCTACAGTCTGACTACCAAAGTGCTGGTCCTGTCCCCACTTTGCTCCTTTATTATGCCAGCAGCACCACCCTGTGCAGTGACCCCCAAAAAAACCAAAATAAATCTCAATTACTTTTTACCCCAGTAGTTTTTCCAATCTAGTTGATCACTTGGCTACACAAATGCTTATGCCTGAATAAAGAAGCAGTGGGTGTGAGAGCAAAGAACAATAGATTCATAAAGCTATCAGCAGCAGTACAAGTGTAATGCCACCTTAACGTGCCCGTATAACTACATAGCAGGGTTTCATGAGAGAAGTGAACTTGTCAAACAGATCTGCCTTGCTCCTGAGCCACTAACTCATTAACTCACATCCATTCTCTTTCGGTGACTGTAGTTGCTCATGACAAGGCCCAATGCATCCTACATTTGGCAGAAAAGAGGGGATGGGTCATGTGGCAAGAAGCAGGGAAAATAGGACTTCTGCTTTTGGTAGCAGCAAGCGAAACGCAATTTCAGCTATCTAGTGAGAGCAGCTAGATTATGCATAAAGCACCATGATTTTATCATCTTCTCACAGGAAGGTAATCTATTTTCTATGAAAATATCATCTCTGTTCGCATTTGTAATTTTTTTTTCTCAAAATATACTCCAGTTTGTTAAAAACTCTGGTTTGTACCAGCTAGAAATTATTAAAACAGTATTCTAGCATGGCTTTGGAAGATCCAAGTTTCCTACTTTCAAGGTTTGGGGTTTTTTTGTTTTTGTTTTGTTTTCAAATTTCTTCAGAGAAGGTCCCCTACAATACTACTGAATATAATATAATATTCATAGAATCATAGAATCATTAAGGTTGGAAAAGACCACTAAGATCATCAAGTCCAACCGTCAACCCAACACCAGTGTTGTCTTGTGCTGTTGTTTTGGGTTGCTAAACAAATTCCCATCTTGTATTTTGAAAAAGTCAGAGAAGTAGACATTACTTTAAAAGGCAGCATACAACAGCATATCATTGCATTTTATAGCATGCACCCTTAAGAGATACAGCTGGGCATTTAACAGATTTTCTTAGCACTAGTTCCAATTAAAAACAAGAGTATGACGTAAAAGATTTTTTTCAGTCCACAATGTTTTGTATTTGTGAAAATGTTCTTTTATTTATCACTTCCGTAGTCTCTGAATGTCTTTTGGAATTGCACTGCCTTGTATCTCCCGGTTTAATCATAGGTAGGTGTCATATTATCACATATTCTGTCCTTCAGGTTGCTTAAACACAAAACGATCAGTGACATATTTCAATGCCATCTATGCCTTTTTTGAAGCTTAATTTGGAAGAATCTTTTTATATCTCTGCTGCATGAGTTTTTTCCATTTATTTTGAAATTCAGCTGAAATCGTATCTTCTTCTCCTTACCCTGTAACATTTAATTTGTCTCTTTTCTTCCACAATTAATTTACCATTTCAACAAGACTTGGCAAGGCATTACGGATATTGCTGATATGAAACTATAAGTGCAAAAAAGGAAGTTGCAATGTGAAAGGTTTTTGGTTTTGTTTTTTTTTTTTTTAAATAGGCTGCAGGAATGAACCATATCAAAACGCTGCTCTGGGGTTAGTTTAAGTATCCCATTGCTAACAAAGTTTTCTCTTATATAATGGATAATACAACTAGAAATACCTTTTTTTTTTTTTTTAAATGCCGTCCTACCTTGTGTCATGACCTCCCAGAAATCAGCTAAGGCTTTATCTTCCACCTTTGATTTCAGGGCCTGCAGAAAATCATTAAAGCACTGCACCTTGGACAGCTGAAAAAAAACCAGCAATGATAACAGAGAAATATTAAAGTAGTTTACTAAAGAGCACTGCAAACTTTATTCTTCATGAAGTCATCTAACATGGTGAACACAAAAGTCAGTACAGATTTTAGTTTTTATCTCTACTAAAACCAAGAGTTCTAAGGAAAGATGAGCCACAAAAACTGCCTTTCAGAAAGCTAGCAAGACTTTCTTGTAACTAGCTTTATTTAAGAAGAAATTTGTAGGATTGCTTATTTTTCTTTTATAAGCATCAGGTCACAGGCCTTGTGTTTTTATGTTTAAAAGAAAACAAACAACAGCAAATAATATCAGAGAAGCTAGTCTGCATTCCAGAAAGAATAAAGAAACATAAAATGCAAATATATTTCTAAACTTTCAAACAGCATAACAGAGTTTAATCTACGAATCAATTCTTTTTGCTGTAGCAAGAAACCATCAAGTTTCTAATACAGCAAATAGGCCCATCATGTCTTTAATTTGAAAGAGATGAGAGTTTTCACATATTAACATTACCTTAATGGCTTCCTCTCTGAAAACTCTGATACAATTGATCCCTTTCATGTAGTACTGTGAACCTTTATTTTCTAGGAACTGATCAACACGGTTTATCAACTGCTGACTCACTGAAAGACAAGGAGAAATACATAAATCAAAGAATGCACACTTTCAAGACAAAACAGTATTTTTCCTTTACATTTCTCTTTTTCTATTCCACAGGCATCAAAAGAGTTAATCATAGCCATACCGCCTCAAGCTAATCAAGTTGATAATTGTTATTTAAGCTACTGACAATTACTTCAGCCTCTCTGGAAAAGCTAGGAAGAAACCCAAGCATGGCCAAGGCAAAAGTCTTTTCCTGAAAGCCAAGAAAAAAAGCATTGGCCTAGCTTGTTTGATAGAAAGTAAAACCAGAACATTTGGGATCCTAAAGCTGAGAGAGGTTACGTTCTACAACACAAAGCATATTCCTTAAACATCCTTTGAAATACTTACATATTTCAATAAAAGCATTAAATTTACAATGAAGGTGTAATAATGTCAAAACAACAGCTGTAGGGTGATTGGAGTCAAAAGACTACCTTGTTGTTATTGATATTCGAGTATATCTTGTCTCTGTACAGGTAGTTCGATGATTTTTCATCGGGGCAATGCTCTTTATGATTATGGAGAAAAATATTACAAACTGTGCATGCCTGACAGAGGAGCAGAGGCAAACAATGAGACTTGTACCAACAAGAAGGGGAACACCAATTTCATCCTCACTGTTGAGCTCCTAAGAGGTAGGGAGCTGTAAAACACTGCAAACGTGACAAGTGAAAATGTCACCAAGAGCTCTGCAAGCCCAATTAAATTCTGCTGGATTTTAGTACTTTATTTTCTTCATGTTTAATTACAGGTGAGGAACTGTCCAATTTTACCCTCTGCAGACACCTCAGCCTGGGAAAAGACAAGTGTGAAGAGCATACAACAGTGATCTATAAACTCAGAAGCACCGTGAAAAGGATAGCACCGTGAATAGGAAGCGATAGTCCACTGCCTCTCTCAAAACAAGAGCAAAAAATTGGGTTAAGAACAAATGGAAAAAAAGTATCTCTCCAAACAAAACCAGTTAACCTCTTTACCACAGGCTGCTGTGGGATGCTAGGAGTTCTAACAGCTTAAAAAAAAAATGCTTGAACAAATTCTTAGAATTCTTAAAAAAGGAAATCTATCAAGGGAGATTAAAGATGATGTTGCCATTGAGGAAGAAAATGCAGGAAAGTATTCTGGACAAGTCACAGCATCTGCCTGTCCTGTTCTTGTACTGTTAAAGACAGGTTACTGGATTAGCAGAAACTTTAGTCTGACCTATAGACCTTCTTACGTTCAGATGTTATGGGCATAGATGTCACTGCAACTATTTCAGCCATGGAAACATCCACATAAAAAAATCATCTGCCAGAGTGATGGAAGAGACAAGGATAAGTAAACACACTGAGAAGCAGACATCATTTAAATACTGTATTCCACTCTGCTTACTGTAAGCATGCACAGCACTAGCTGTTATATTTATGTTATATAAAATGCCTAATTGAACTGAATCTGAAGGACAGCATCTCTGAAAAGAGTGAAACAAGACATGTTTGATACTTTCCTACTAGCTTTTCACTCTACAGTTTCTAGAAAAGGAGGCAGATAATGGTTCTGTCCAATAGCAGCTATCTCACAAGAGTGTGCTAAAGTGCCTACTGCTCCAGAGGTGATCAGCTCACTCTTTTTATTTATTTCACCAGTAGCTGACAAACTAAATTGAAGTCTCACTACTTAAGCTCCCCAAGTTAAGCCAGTCCATTTTTTTCATGGTTAACGATTTTCTCATTAACTGTTCTAATTTCTTAAGAATTGCACTAATAAAAGCAAGTCCTGCTGGTGTTTTCAGTGGTGGTGGTGGTTTTTTTAAACGCTGCCTTTTCATTGATGTGTTAAATTAAAACCCCAGGCACTATGAGGGTGCTATAAAAGTCTTTTTTGTCAGAATGATTCCAGCATGCTGTTTGAAATTATCAGACACTCTACTACTTCTTTTGCATTTAATTTTTTTAAAATCCCTTTCCATTTGATTGCACTGGCAGGCATCAGAAGAAAAGACTTTTTCTTGTTACTGACTGTGAGCTGCCTCCTTTTGAAGTCTGTTGTAAGGAAGCAAAAAAACCCTACTATGTCTTACTAGGCACTGAAAGATCATGCAGGAAACAGGTTACATGGCAACAATATTTTAAGTCAGATTCTTTTAACATCTTGAAACAGCTTGGCTAAAATTGGGTCTCTCCATTAGGTCTCCCTTAAATGACAGGCCAATGACTGATAAATCTAAAATAGATAAAATTCCTTTGTTCTGATTAGCTTACCAAATTACTTCAGGGGGGCGAAGACAATACCAGAGATGGTAGGTAAGGATTATAACTGGAAGTTCTCCGAAGTGGACTCTGTTCCTTTACACTTCTAGGTCTGAGAACTTTGTTGATTTCCTGCTGCCTGTTTTCTGCCTTTCCATTAATGTGAATCTTTGGGTTTGGGTGCTGCAAAAAATAAATCTCCCTATTTTTGGAGAAAGGCATGTTCTGCATAAAGATGTCTATCTAACTAAGCTGTGAATATTAGCATTAACTCTGATGTGTCCCAGACAAATCTCATGCATTTGGGTTTTGAAGAACAGGTCCTAGAGTTACAAACTGACAGCCTATTCAGGCCACTACTACATAATAACAACCTTTTTTTCTTCTCCCCCAACCTCCCTCATCCCCCACACATTTAAGGAAGTAAACTAACGAAATTCTGTATTTTGCATAAACCGGAATTCCAGCACTCCTAATAACCACCACGTTCTGCAGATCATCTCAAGAAACATTAATCTTCTGCTTCCCTCTTCTACTGTAACACGATACTGGTTAGATAACAAACACAGTGATTAAAGGCTGGAAAACTACAGGTAAAAAAAAAAATCTTTGAATAGAAGATATTTTAGTTCTAACAGAATTTAATCCCTTCCCCACTGGCATTCAGATACATTCCTTACTCTAAAATACATTCACCAGTGCTGTTATTTCTTGTAAAATATGCTATGAACAATTATATTCACTTGTTATCCCTGAAGAGTTACAGTACAAAAGTGTATTTTCATGTTTGTTCAGTTCAGTGCTTGGTCTTCATTATTATGCCAACCAGATTACAGCATAATAATAGATAAGGCTGTATTATAGTCCAAGTTCCAATTCCTTGGGGATTCCCTCTCCCCCCTAATAAATTAATCAGGTTAAAAAATAGCTCTTTCTGTAGACAAAAGACGCCTGTTGTTACCAATCTTTTGATTTATCCACTGGTGGTGGTAATGATTTGTATTAATGGACAGTGCTTAAAGTAAGTCACTGACAAATCAGTTAAACCACCTGATAATAAATGTTAAACTACTGCTCTGTAAGTATCATGTTTTTGTAACTGAAAAGAAGAAAGAAATTATAAACAGAAAACTGTCCTCATTTTTTAAGGACTTCCTTCATCTTTAAGGTAAGAAATAAGAATTTTAAGATCAAGAGCTGTTGAACTACTCCAGTGACCTATGACATGCTGTTCAATGGTCTCTCTAAATGACCTGTCGGTATGGATCAGAATGATTTAGGCTGGATGACTGAAGGACATGCGGTCTAAATCCCTGCTCAAACCAGGGCTGCTGTGGATCAGGTGGCTCAATGCTCCACTGACTTGACTTCCGAATAGCTCCAAAGATGGAGAGTCTCGAAGTTCTCTGGGCCCCTCTTTCAAAACCATTGTGGTTTTTATTTCTTTTTTCCCATAACATCTAATCCAAATTCTGTTTGTTGCAAATCAGAGCTTTGCATCTCACCCGATCGCTATGCCCTTCAAAGACGAATCTGGCTTCATCTTCTCTGTGAAGCAGACGTACAGGAAGCTTCAAAGTGATTTTATATACACAAGTATTTGGTTTGCAAAAACTCTTCCAATGACCGAATCATTTTCATAGAACTATTTGTTGCATTTGGCCTACCTAGCAGTAGAGTAGAAAATTTACAAACCAAAGAAAATACTATGCATGCATCAGTATCTTTTTTAACCCTCATTAAGCCATCTTATCTTCTACAGAAGCCTATGAAAATACAACACCCCATATCAGACACCTTCTGCTCTCCAGAAATGCAGACACGGGTGGAAACCTGTAAATAGATGAACAGGATTAACTGGTAGTCATGTGGCTACTCCTTTGGCATTACAAAGATGGCAAGCGCTCACTGCATTTGAGAGTCAGCACAGCAATGAAGAAACTCATTGTACACCCTTGGGAGTAACAATTAGATTCCACTCAGGAAAACTAATCTATTTTATTTGCATTCATTGACAAAAATGTCAGAAGCTGTTATCAGAAGACTGCTCTTTGTGATGACTGTGCACTTGTAACCTGTTCAATATAAGACCTGTATAAAATGACATCTCTCTGGCCATGAATGCAAACAAGAAAGTAAAGATATCTGGAGGGGAAACACAATTACCAGTTACACGAGCAATCAACATTAACCAGTAAATTGACACCATCACGCACAACTCATCACGAAAGCCGTAAGTGGGTCCCTACTGCAATAAATTACAGAGATGTCCATTAAAAACAAAGTTGATTACTGTTTCAGGAATTGAGTTGCCAGTCTCAGAAAACCTATCCCTAAGACCCTCGTCAATTTGAAACTCCTAGATTTTCTAAAAAAAAAAATGTATTTACACATTAGTGACCCAGTTCTCACTAACAGTGAATGCATCGTTTCTCCTGCTCTGGTCTGCCATAGGACACAGCTGTCTAACTTGCACTTAGGTTTCTCCTATGAACGGCACAAACCCTGATCATCACATCCCAGTGAGGCCACTGCAGGAGATGCATTGGTACTCATTTTCGATGATAAATATACCATCAGGACTTGTTATAAGACGTTTAAAAAAAAAAATTCCCCTTGCCAAACTTTAGTCGTGACAACTTTATAATTTTGGTGAGAGACTTGCTGTCGACTGAAGAGGATGTGTGCCATTAACCTGCAGCTTAATTAAAAAGCCACTGTACTGTCAGTATTTAAAGTACAACACTTCCTATTTCTACAACTTCTCTATCTAACAAAAAACCCCACCCGCAATCAAACAGTTGAAAGGCCTTTCTCCTCCCTATGGAGGGGAGTTTTAAAAAGAGAATGTAGGCTCTATTCAGTTTGGAAGACTACACTGGATGCTCTTTTTATACAAGGAAGAAGCAAACCAGGACACACCTAGTAGTTTCGCTGTCTGCATCCTGACACATAAAATGTAATTTTTTTTTTTTTTTCCAATAAACTATTTGAATGCCACAGATTATCCTTTCCTGCAAAGACATTTTACATGTCACATGTTCTAGCAGAGGAAAAAAAAGTTTCATCATTAAATATGATATAAAATTATACTAAAAAAACCCTTAGAACCACTGAGCAGTTTTAAGGCAGAATTTACTATTTACATAACCAGGATGCAATACAGCAAGCCATTAAAAACATGCCTGTAATGTTTTATGTATTAAGCTACCTAAAAGGCTCTAAAGCAGAAAAAGGATTATGCAGAAGAAAAAAAATAATATGCAGAACATGTTTTTATTTATAGTGGCTTTTACCTCTTCTTTAAATGGGTGACTGCATTACATTCTAACTAGACCTTATAATTACAGAGCAGATCACACATAAAATAAAAGCAGATTGCTCAAAATTTCAGAATCCATCCAAACATGTACTGCAGTTATCTCCAGCACAGCTACCAACCGGACATATTTAAGCACTCTTTAGTTAAACCATCTTCCAGAGTAATTGCTATACTTATTTCTGCCTTAAAGCTTTCCTACATGATAAAATTAATTACCGTAACAAAGTAGTCAACTGTTTCACAGTTTCTGTATTCTAATATATTGTACAATGCTTTTTTACTGCATCTGAATATATCTGAGATTTGAGAACACAACGCCAAATATTTTTTCAGTAAACAATTTCTTCTGGATCTAATGCAAAATCCATGTAAAAAGCTGGCTAGCTGGCTTATAGTTCTGGAAATTCTAGAGAGAAATAGCTATATAGGCTTTAACAGACTGTATCACAAATCAATATACTACTCAACACACTCCTCAAATTATGTCCAAAAGGACCAAAGGCCTTGTTGAAATACCCAGCACCTCACTTCAGCACCTCTGCAAATTTTTTTTCTTTAAAGAGAAATGCTACATTAGTGGCTATTCGGCAGATGAAGTTTATCTTGCCGCAACCTTCAAATCATCCTTTAAAAGAAAAAAGGATCCCATCCATCCCGTGCATTCTTTTTAAGATACCTTTGGATTACATATATCTCTATATAGCTGTTCCAGTAGGGAAATACCATACAAACAAATGGTAATTTCTTTGCATTTTCAGACTTAGAGCATGCAAGACAGTGGCTGACCTGTGCTTTGTATTCTCCCTTGTCTCTGCTTGCTGTACGCTGAGAATAGATTCAGTGCATGCAAAGCCTGCTCTCATCTTTGAGAGTCACAGACTACCTGCTTATTACACTCTAAATTCACCTGTGCTTTCTCTTGCTCACAACAAGCAGTAAGAAACGATCTTTGCATGTAAAGATTTAAATCCCAGGCATCAGATTCTTATTTCTTCATAGAACAGAATAAGTAGACAGCAGAAGATGGGTTTCTCACACCATGCGCAGCCAACAGCCCTCCACTTCAAGCCAGAAAGATCCCATGAAACCAGATGAGAAGCTGATACCCAGTTTGAATGAGGCAGTCAGTCAGTACCAAGGGATCTTCTGTTAGAAACACCTGAAGAGTTGCTCAGATGCCTCAATATAGCTGTCTAGTGCCATCTTGCACAAACATGGGTATCTGAGACTTTCAAATATTGACACAGGAATTACGACTGACACCTTTCTTTGCTGAGTGGCACTAGAAGCTAAGCAGTAAACTCCAGAGCATCTCACATAGCACTAGAAACTTATGTTTAGACAAATGGATTGCATTTATTGAACCCTGAAGATGCTACTAAATATAAATAAGATAGGTAAAAGTTATTTACCGTCTTCAAAGTCAGTATTTTTCTGCCTCACCAGAATTCGAAAATCTTCTGCTGGGTTAACACTGCCAACCTACAAAAGGTCCAAAAATGATACAATCATCTGCCAATATCCATCTCCTTATTATTGCGAGGCAACAAGAATCTTTACATTTCTGTTTATTTTAACACGGAAAGAGAAGCTCTACAATTCTCTGCGTGCGGACTCATAAAATGAAAGTCTTAAAATGTGTGTTAATGTGCAGTACTCCTAGCAAAGCTTAGTTATGACATGAGCAAGATGAACTTACCACTTACTATGTTGCACTCTTATAAACCAACCATATTCTCTGGGATTTAGAGGTCAGAAGCACAGTAATTCAGGCTATCTGCTAGTTCAGCTTTGAGACTTTCTGTAGCACAGACCTCTCACTAATCTTGACAGACATTTAATGAGGAATGGGAGCTCTCAGGCATGTGGGTAGAGAACCATTGGTTTGCCACTCCAATAGGAACCTCAAAATTAAAAGCTTGCACTCAATTCATCTACCCTTTCTGGCCCAGTCTGACATCTTAAAGCTGAAGCTCTAAATGGGCATACAAGTGCAGAAATCTTACAAAGGAACTAAAACCAGATCAAATATAAATAAACACTTTCTGAAAAACAGATGCAATAACCTCAGGGAAAAAAAAAAAAATCACATTGCTTAACATTTCCTTTCAGGAATCAAAATTCTCCTAAGTTTATCTGAAAATTTTATGCTTTGCTGTCAGAATAATTCTTCGATCTTTCAATAAGCTTGCTTGGTCTCTTCGAGTTTCTTTTAAATCTGGCTATGCCACTTTTCAGGAAAACTCAGAAGTGTATACAAGGAATATAAAATATTTAAATCCTTTTAGATTTTAAATCTTTTTAAAAATCTAAATCATGCATTTTAAAAACAAAGCTTAAAGGATAGTTTGAAAACAAGTGAAGTTATCTCAATTAATATTAAATCACCTTTTTTCCCCTGTAATTCGAAAAATCAAATAAAGGAAGGTGCACAGTTACGATACAGGCTTCATCTACCATGTACACAACACCTGGAATTAAGTTAGACATTTAACCTATCAGCAAGATGAAGATAAATTTGTGATTTAGAAACCCAATCAATGCAGAGAACAGTCCCTAAAACCACAGCAATACCTTTGATTAAATATAGAGGCAACTTCTATATTGCAGATGATATGAAAGAGAGCAAGAACAAAATTCAACCACTGAACCCCAAATCTGAGATTCTGTTTTCTTCAGATCCTCAGGCTTGCCCTTTGGAGTTCTAGACACTGGGGAAGAATTTTTTCCTAAAATATCCAAGACTGATGGAAACTTGTGCTAACATACACTTAAGGGCAGAGAAAGTTGTCTTTATAATCTCTAGCAGAGAGTCTCAAATCTACGAGTAGACAATATTTCAGTCATGTTTCAGCTAGAAACCGTCCTTTTATCAGGAATTCTGTATATTCACTATAATACATTTAGAGAAATTAATCTTCCCCTTTAATAATCAGATTTGTAAAAATATGCTTACAGAGGTGACATTGCCTTCAGCAAGTTTTATGATGCTAAAGCTACCTTCCTCATCTTCAATTTTTGGTTTCTTAGGGTTGGGTCCATCTTCACTGCTGCAAATGAGAAGGACAAAAATTAATATAAACACTTAAAGTAAAGTGTCCTGCCTAAGTAGGGAGTCAGTAAGTAATGAAATATACACTGAACACTGGACAAAACTTCATTATACAACTGTTCCCAAATTAACACTAAATCACACCTCATTTTTCCCCATAGGCTGCACAAAGCGGATAGTAGAAACAGAGATCAAACTTTATCTTAGCATAAAGCTAAGGCACCAGTTATTGAAGGTGCGAGATTATTCATGCTTATTTCAGGAGTGAATTTACTCATACACATCTTCTCCACCTTTCTAAATACATAATATCTCCAGTCACTTTATTTGGAACCTGTATATTGAGTTAACCTTGATAATTTATAGTATATGATTCACAGTATATTACATGACAATTGGTATTCTCAACAGATCTTAACATGAAGTGGCAATGAAACTTAACATTTGAGTAAGAAATTCATTTACTCCTCAAAAACTACCTGCTAGTTCCTGTCGTGGAATTTATAGCTACTACAAACCTGTTTACACAGTGGCTTTTGAGTCCAATGACCCATATTCTCCATCAGCACAGGAAAGCTTTATAAACTTCCACCTACAGCAGTCAAAACCTGCTAGACAAACCCCAATTAAGTACGTAAGAACTCTCTCAGGACATTTTAAGCTACATCTCAAAATGCTTTCAAAAGACTATTTGTTATTTTTAAAAGGCTAATTGTGATTTTAGGCTACTTTCTAGCTTTGCCCTCACAGGTAACATACACCAAGGTGTACATTCAAACCAGGAACTTAATTGTAACATCTAACATGCCAAACTTTAGAGCACATCTTAGCAATGGAAGAAAATCCAGCTAATCACGAAAGGGGAAGAAAATCAGACACCGTGTTCTGTGTCACTTAATGTGACAGGCTACTGACACAGAAGAATTGATTTCAGTTTAAGGACGCCTGAAAGCTACTCAGCAATCTAAACAGCAGTATTTGTGTTCCAGGAATCCCAAAACAAAGAAGTTTTTCTTAAAACTTCTACTACTGCAGTGAAAAGAAGAAACTGCTTGACGATGTAGGGACAAAGCCAGAGATCCTGGACTAGGTGCCATTTTGCATTCTGCAAGGTTAGAAATGATTTTAAAAATTGCATTGCACGTTACAGAAGCAATCAACTATTACAAAGAACTTGTACAGTTTTCCTTTTTACTTTCTATAGCAGACTCCTCCCCTACTTTACAATCAGCGTCTATCCCACTTTGTTTCAGTAGTCTTCTCCTCAGCAGCTCCTGTCATCCAACATAACCTTAATTATCACTCTAGGAGAAATGATGACTTTGGTTATGTCTCAGGACAAGGATAGGACACCTTGCTTCATTCTCAACTCTGCTGACTTTCTGGCTGACCTTGAACAAGTTGCTCGATTGTTTTGGACAGCCAATATGCCTGTCTGTAAAAAGGAGACACTGATATTAGCTAACACCAGTGAGTTTAGAACTTCTACTTGAACCAAAATTCTCGTATATTGACGTGGTTTGATGAAAGGTGCAAAGAACAATGAAAATTCTCTTTTAGAATATTTTTCTCCAAAGGTGTTTTCCACTCAATTGCAATGTCTTGAAATCTTTTTCCTCCTGCATTATCTTTACTGATTCAAAATGCTTTGGGATTGGAGGAAAGAGGAGAACATAAATGATGACGCTGCATTTAACTGCCTAGGACCAAATCTACAGCTGTCATTAATCAGTGCAGCAGAAACTAATGAATCCATACCCATTTATATCAGCCAAGGATCTGACATTTAGAATCTGCTACTGGTAATGCACTGATTAGCAGTATTTTTAAACTGTAAAACGTGCAACTACTATTTGAGAAAAATTAATAAAATACAAGATTAATTTAAAACACCCACTTATACATTTATATAGAAGCCTCTCACATACTGTAAAGCTGGATGAGGTAACAGCCTCTCCAAAACCAACCTAAGAAGGAAAAAGTAAAACGCTTTCTATTTTACTGAATTTTTCAAACTACACAGAGCTTAGCAAAAGTAAAACAAACGAATGCTGAATATTAAAATCTGTATTAAGATATCATGCCTCCATTTATGCTGCCTTAACCCCATTAGACCTTAAAAATTAAGCAGAGATGAATCAGGTCAATATGACGATAGGAGACACAAGTCAGTTTTAGAAAACAAAAACAATGGTCAAGAGAGCTTCTAGCCAACTTTTTCAAAACACTTTAGTTCAAATCTGACAGTTTTAATAAGTTGAATGCTATCTGGTGTTTAACATTTTCCTTAGTCATTGTTGCAGAGTAATGTACTTTTTTTTATCAAGCGATTTAATTATATTACTCGGCTTTTCCCCAAACACAGAACAAAATCATAAAGTTAACACTTCCGTTGTAGTACTGACAATACTACCGTTCCCATTCATTACTACAGCAATACCAGTTTTCTTCATATTTTTTAATCCTATTACAATTCATTCTTCTTTGGACAGTTGAGTCCGCATCCTTTTGCCTCCCTTATAGATTTTTTTTTTTTTAATCATTTTAATGCCCTACACCAACTCCTATCTCAACTATTTTTATAGCTGCTTTCATCACTCCTCTAAAGGAAATCAGTTTTTAAACAAAATAGCTTTCCTTCTTGCTTGTCAAATTGATGACTTTGGGGTGATACGTTTTTAAGTAACTACCAGTAATGGGTCACTGTTTTTTGTTTAAATTCTCTCCCTAGCTTGTTTGAACCCAAGTTTTGCTTTTTTTTTTTTAAAACTGGTTCTATCACTTTTAAAAATACACATATAAATGTACGTGTATACACACACACATGCACCCAGAGAAACTGTGACACAGAGCAAGGACAAGAGAATCAGTATGAATTCACAGACACACCAAGGCAAGACAGGCACACATAGTAATGAACAAAATCAAAAGCAAGGTGTTTCCCAGTCTGTATACAGAAACGTGGTCGTTATTCCAGAGCGGTAACCTGAGAAGTCCTATGTCATGTCTTCCCAAAGATAACATCCTGAGGACCTTTAACCAACCCAAGGTAAAGGATATATGACAGCTCAGCTAAGCAAGGCCTCAAGACGGCTCAAAGATGTTGTTCCTAGCGCTGAAAGGACCGAGCTAAAAATGACAAAAAGGAGGGAGAAGGAGCTAAATGAGAACTCTCCAACATCCGAGGGGACCCACTAGTTATATTATAGGCATTCAATAAATCAAGGTCTAAGAAGCAAATTTTGTTTGAGCAAATTGACTTGTGGCTGGGGTGACACTACCAATGCAGTAGCAATTAAATATTTATTCTTCATATTTGCAGCACAATTGAAGTAAACACAGTATAACAAAAAAAAATTATCTTAAAAACTGTTCAGACAATAGATGTTCCAGGACAAGTCCAGTTTGATTTTTCAAGACATCCACATTTATTGCACAGCAGATAATAATGAAGCTGCTTTTCTTTTGATTTGGAATTCAAAATGAAAGCTACAGAACAACCTAAATCGAGCATGCTGAGAAGGAAGACTCATCTTTACAGCTAATTTAAAGCTCCACAGCATTTATTCGAAACTAAATTAGACCCTCTGTTATTCTTACTTGAACTATTTTATAATTACCAGTAGGTCAAACTATTTGACCAGAAGACAGTAAGCAATGCAACAGGCTGCCCAGAAAGGATGTGCAGCCTCCATCCCTGCATGTTTTCAAGACCAGACAGGATGAAGCCCTGAGTTACCTGTTCAGATCTCATATGTGACCCTGCTTTGAGCAGCGGATTGAACAAGAAACCTTCTGAGGTCCCTTCCAACCTGATAGATTCTGTGATTCTGTGACAACAAATATAGACATGAGGAAGCTACTGACTGCTTCCTGGTGTGTCTTGCCCATAATAGTAAGACCACCACTGTTCACAAAATACCCTGACATACTGTGGTACCACAATATTCTCCATCCATCAGTATTTTTTCAGTGTGTAACTCATCGATCTTATGTTCAAAAGACTCTGAGTCTGCTTCATCCAGCAAAAACAATTTGAAGTGTAAAAAAAAGTTTCAAAAAAATCCATAATACATCTCCAACTTACTTATCTTTGAAGATGTCTTGAGCAGTCTTCTCTTCTTTTTTCTTGCCAACTTCCTTTAGGGGGAAAAGTGCTTTTACTTTTTCAAGAGGAGCCTGACACCTTTCTTTTACCACACGGGGCATCTCCAGCATCTCTAAAAGATGCTGTTCAATTGGCGGCAATGGCTCATTGGGGTGAAAAGCCTTATGCTGCAAACACTGCAAGAAACAATTTGAGCGAAGAAAAACTTTTAGTTTATGTGCTTTTAATATAATGCCTGTATGCCTGACATGATATGGTACATGCAAAATATCTTCCATATTGGTGACAAATATTTCAGCTCACAAGTGGATTGAAAGTCATATGATCAGCTGTTTAAGGAGATTAATAATGATATTAAACAACAATATTGATGCAGATGAGTGTTCCCATCTCACTGGAATGAGTTCTATGAAAATCATTAGGAAAATTCCAGTAATGAAAGTCATCTACATCTACTCAGCTTTTTAACTTCCTTTTACCTTTAAAATGCAGTTTCTATTATAAAACAGTCATATGGGAGAGATATCTATACATTCCGAAATTAGGCAACAAAATATATACCCCAACCACGTATTCCAGTTATTATCACAGTTTATTGCCCCTCAAAGAAAATATTTCTTCTTGGTCAATAAAACTCAGTATGCATACAAGAGAAATTTTCACCAGTTAAAGAGCAAATGGAAAAGAGAGAAGTTAAATGTGCACAGATGAGGCACAGAATATAGGTATGTTTGCAAATTAGCCTTGAAAAGAGTGAGGGAATGAAGGGTCCTGACAGATGTACATCAAAGTTGGAACAGATGGTAGGAGCTACAGAGGAGAAGGCTTTTTCACCAAAGTGTAAAGACAGTGCAGACAGGGAGCCAAGCAGAGGGAGAGAGATGAGGTTAATGAGGTAGGCTACAGAAATTCCATTGAGAATTTTAAAAACAAAGTAGGTATCTCTTAACAGTTGTGAAGTGTGGGATAGCAGTAGAGATGTATGTGATTGTGCATATATATACACAGATACCAGCGCATGCACACACATACATACATAAAAACACGTGATGTACACAGGAGAATAATTTTTCCAAGCCCATTGTACTGGGTGAATTAGACACAAGTGTGAAGGTAACTACTCAGTAAACTAGGAACACAGCAGAGATTTGCTCCCCTGTTGGCTGTCAGACATGACATTAATTTAAAAAACAAAACCAAAGCAAACAAGAAAAACCCACTATTCATGCTGAAAAGCTGCCAATAAAGAAAATCCAGACCATATGCTACACATCAATACTGATGTGCTTTCATGCTGCCATTAAGATTCCAATCCCTATTAGAGCATACTTTCAAAAGGAGGCAGTCATACAAGGCTACTGATTTGGAAACACTTGCAATGATTTAAGGCATAATTATTTTTAAAGAGAGTAAAAATGTTGCTGGAAGCTGCAGTAGTGGCTCTTGTGATACAAAAAACCAGTATCAAAACAACATTAGGGGATTGAATTAAACTCACAAAGCAAAAAATCCTAAGTCCCCTGTTGTGAATGTGTTTTTAAGGCTTTTGCATCTGAAATCTCTATGTGTGCAGCTGCAAGAGCTGAGCAGACTGAGTAGCCACAGCCTCCACTTGATCCTGTTTCTAGAGTAGATGATGACCTCTGAAACCTAAGATGGCAGGTACCATCACAACTCTGGTGCTAAATGGAGATGAAGTTGAACAGACTTAACCTGAAGTTTCTAATCGCAAAGAGTCCCTTTTAACCTTGCTTTCTCCTCCTTCTGTGCCCAGCAAGAACGACTCCTACCTTCATTGGCTAGAAGGCAACCTACGCTGCCACTGGCTTCCAGACTCACTGTTCTATTCATTAATGTGGTCAGCAATGTACTAGCTCCTCCTTGCTCTAATTTCCTTACATTTCCAGCCTAGAGATGTAGCCAGCTTTCCGGAACAGGGGCCACACTAAAATACTGGTCAATGGATGTAATGAAGTGGGCTTTTCACATAATTAATTCCATGATAAGCAATGGCATAAATGCATGAATAGACAGGAATTTACTGCAAGAAAGCATCCTGCCTTGTTCCCTTCCAGAGAGCATCTAGAAACACACTTTTGTAAGAACATATTTTAGCAAATCTATAAATCCTACAGGAACCTGATAGTATTTAAAACCTTAGAATATGGGAGACGGATTCAGCTATCTAAAAGATAAGCATCTAGTCTATACCAGTCATCTACTCACTCTACACAACCACAACTATCATGTACTTATGATCTCTGAAACAAGAAGGATCAATTACTTTCCCAATGTTCTTTTTTCATGGATTATAGAATAGACTCGGACAACTCAGCTTACACTAGTTAGCTAGCTTTTGGGTGGTTAAACCTGTGTGAACTGAATCCCAAACACAAGTGTCTTAGAGTTCAGTTTACACCTAGTTTGTGACGATTCCAAAATGACCTTCCAACAGATCCACTACATTCAACCAAAGACAAGATTACTTATTGCTGAAAGCCCTTACAGACCTTCGTGAGCGACCTCCTGTCCCCCTGTTGCTCTGCTTTTTGAAAGAACATCACCATACAGTCCAACCAATTACAAACGAGCTCAGTCCTCTGAGGTCGCTTACATGCAGTCTAACAAGAGCCATTACAGCATATTTAGATGCAGACTCTGCAGCTGGATCCCATGAACTATGCAATGCTGCAGGCCACCGTCCCCACAAACCTTCCCCCCAGGTCTGTCTCAGTACAGAACAATCATTGTTGAGCAATTTGTTCATTTGGCTATCAAATAAAATGCACTGCATTCCCCAAATGTCTTGTGTGCTTCAAACACCTGTATTTAAGAGGAACAACTTAAACAATGACGTTGGAAGTCTGCCACCACAAAAACTATGGAAGTTCACTTAGGCTTTTCTGGAAGCAAGGAATAAAAGTTGAAACTCCAAATATAGGATATTCCCCAGCAAGCATTAGCAACTCCCTTCCACCCACTCTGTCATTTCCTGATGCCTACCACTACTTCCAGAGATATAATTTAGCTTGACATTTCTGTTTAAGTTCTGGCTCTTGTCACTTATCATTCCAAGTATCTTCATGAGGTAACAGAGCAAGGAAATGAAGGGGGAGTTCATCCTTTCTTCAGAGTTATTTTTCCAAACCATCTATAGGTCCTGTTCAGCCCAATCAATTTACTGGCTACATTCAAAAGATGTGTAATTTTTCTTCGTAGTTCTTAAGGAACTAGCAGTGCCACTTGGTCTAAGAACAAAATATTAAGAATTTGGAACATGTTTGCAGCAAAGGAGAGGACAATCTTTTTGCAAGTTATATGGATTAATAGCAGTTTTGTAACCAAGACAAAAAAATGGGGCTGTGCACAGGCAAAAGAAAGCACTAAAAGGACTGGTAATTTAGGGCTTTATAAATAGCACACACTGGGGACAGGAACTGTATACTACCTAGTACATTGAAACAGTCAATAAATACTTTTTTTCACCAGTAGTATTCACCCTTACAAAATCCTATTAGCCTCTAAGGAAATTGGTGAGTTACGCAGTTACTCTCTTCTAGTAGCACTTGACTCAACTGCTGGAACACCACCATCATACTGTTTCAGAAGATAAATGGCACACCTAAAGAAACATCTTTCGTTGATAGGTGACATCCGCTGAACCAAAAGAAAGCAAAATTGTATCTAGCAATATAACAAGAGGAAATTCTATCCTCTATGTGTTTCATTTACAAGCAAAACCATATTTGTTTTGTAATACCCAAGCTTTACAATCCTTCCTAAAATAGGAGTCATGCAGAGGTCAATCCACTTTAAGCTCTTGCCCAGCAATAACCTTCTACTGACCAAGTCTCGCATTCAGTTACACACTGTCTTGTCAATATGACTGGCAGAATTTGAAGGGAACACTCAGTTCTTCAGGTGTCAATCAGAGTAGGATTTGAAGACAGTGGGCTTACAGGTGTTCCTGAAACATAAATATGACCTTCAGATCCTCTGCTTCTTTTAAGAATACTGGGGCAGCATGGCTTTTGGAAGTTAAAGTATGTTTTCTTAATTTAAAAAAGCATCTTCTTCCTACTTGTAAACTGAAAAGATTTTGTTTGGAATTGTTGAGATAGGACGAACATGGATGCTGTAATACCATTTTTGGTCAATTTTCAGAGTGGAGTCACGCACTCAATATATCTCCAGGGCTCTATACAACAAAACTCTGCAGCTGCATAAATTGTATCGTAATTCTCCTTATTTTTGAATTTGCTGTGTCATTTTTTTGAACACTTGAATTCCAATGTGTAATTAAGTCTTTCATCCTCACAGTTGGAATGAAAATCTTCATGATACGAAAGGAATGTAAATCAAAACGTAGACAGCTTGATACAATAACTGCAAGAAGTGTGAACTGTTCTGGTTGCCCGTAAAATGCATCAGCTTAGACACCCACGTGGAATATTTTAAATGTCAACAATGTTAACCATTTACTACCAATGAAGTTCACCTCAGACTGATTTGTTTTGGAACCACTGCTAGATGCAACAATGCACAGAAAAGTGACTCTGCTCAAGATTTGATGGGACACAAAGTGAGGAGCTAAACGGATCTCTGATTTTCAGTCAATTTCTCTCTTCGCCCAGAAGCTGGAGTCTATGTCTGCACCGTGATCGTGGCAATACAGTGTTGAGATACCCAAAGAAAGTTTTAACTTGTCTAGTCTAGGTGCCTATGAATATCACTGATGCTGTTGCAGACAACTCAGCGCAGGTGCAATTTCCCTTGCTTCCTGGAAACTGGAAATTTTACTAATAAAATCTGTATCAGGAACAACATGGAAGTCACTGGCTACCCCATAATTAAATGCAAAAGAATTTATATTCCCATCTTCACAATGCAAATCTTTCCAATGTGAATCAGAGAAAGACAGAAAGGTGAAAAGTCACAACAAAAGAAGTTTTTAAAAAATGCAAGATAGTTCGTCTCACCTGATATAACCTCTGAAAATGAGGGTTTGGGATTTTGCTCGGCTTAAACAGGTCCTCAGAAGTTTCTCCATCATCATTTTCACAAACCAAATTCGTAGAATCAATCAAAGAGTCAACAGCAGATAACTGATCCGCTAAGGCAGCAATTACATACAAAGAAAAATTAAATACACTTGCAGATGGATGCATTTCTTGAAACAATTTATAAATGAAGATTCATAATGCGAGATTTTGACCAAATCATTACATGCCACAGAATACACTGCAGATACAGACGTGCCAATAAAGAATATGGATAATGGACACAGTAATAAAACCCCTGCTTTATTTAAGGACTACAACGTAAAGTCATAAAGCCTTCCTTCCCGCCCCTCCTCCCCCGCCCCCAAGACTTCAATTACTGCTGCCTTTCTGCTTCCATTTTTCTTCTTTTTCAAGATGTTTTCATTTGCAACAGAGGGTTTATAGGCCACTTAGAAAATAAGGAGAAATCTGGTTTGAGAAACTAAATGGTGTAATATAAATTTTAAAAGTTATGATTGCAAATTAACACAGTTCACAATAGTCAACTACTGCTTTGGTAAGATAGGTTTCAGATTTGTTCTCAAACTGCTAGTTATAGGCAAGAAAATAGAAACTGTTTCAGAAACAAGCCAGCATGCTTTATATACCCTTATGTGCAGATGCCCATTCAATGGATCTCATAACAAATTAAAGAAGCGGGAGTAGCTTTTAAACCACAAACTACATCCATTTACACTCATTGCTGTGCAAAATTCTCAGAAGAGTGAGTCAAGCTTGGTATAGCTGCATATTCTATGGCTCTCCAAAGACACCCTCCATCTGAATCAGGACACCAGTAAGTGCATCCTTTAAAAAACAACACACCACAGAAAATACAGTCTTTGCCTTTGTACATTATATTAACAGGCCATACTGCAACTGGCTACAGGACCACCTTTGTATGAACAAAGCTGATCACATATTGTAGCTCCCACAAGGTTGGCCATTTAGTCTCACAAATGAGTTCAAAGATCAAAGGATATGGAGGACTAAATCTCAGATGCCTATCACAGAGATCCTGTTAGACTAATAATTCCATAACCCGAACCACAAGTCATTTAACAGGACAATTTTAAAAGACAGCCTGCAGACCTCAAGTCTGCTCAGCCTGCAACTAAGCTGGCGAAGTTTTGATACAGGCTTTACACTTCAAGGTGACATCACCCTAACGTATTCCCAAAGGGCTGGACTTTATTTCTTAAGCCGAAATAATGACAAAACTTATGTTTTCATTGGAAAGCCAAATATTCTAGCTCTTTTAGAGTGTCTTAAAGGACGACAAGTAGGTTACTTTGTGCAGTTGTGCAGTGAAGGACTATCTTACCTGTAGGAACGAATTTTTTATTGTTTTTCAAGGATGAGAATATGTACTGTCGTAAGTCTTCCATGTAGGGTAGTTGCACATAGATGAGACACTGAGCAAGACAAAAGAAGAAAGAAACAACTGAGCCTGAAGTAAAAAAAATCTGAAGTATCCCAAAGTGCCCTACCAGGGCAATATAAACATACAAAAAATCCAAAGATCTAATATCTGTGTGTATCAAAATACTTAAATAAAATATTTACAAAGCAACACAGTTTTAAGCAGAATAAAATACAGCATTATTTTATACTATAGCGATGGCTACACTCCTCATTTTTCTACAGGTGGAATAAAGACGTCCCAGGTCATCTGATCCCTTTTTCTTGTGCAGAGTTCCAACCAGCCAAGCTTTAAATACCCCATACAGTGGCACTTTGGGAGGTTTAATCATAGATTACCGTGTTTTAAAGTCAAAAGTTGGGTTTGGTTTTTTAACATTATCAGCCTAATTTTTTCTCTATTCGAATACCTCCTCCAGTTCATACCACCCTAAATAACTCCTTTCCATCTTTTTGTTTATACCCTTCAAAAGTCTGAAGATTGTTATGTCCGCCCCCACCTTCGTCATTGCTTAGCCATGCTATACATATTTAGCTCTTTCAAGTCTCTCGTAAGTAAGATCAGTGGAAACATATGTTGCAAAAAATTCTGACATACTGTGTTGCTTCTGGGTCTCTCAGAATTTAAGAAAAAATATTTCAAATATGATTCTGCTGTGTACAGAACTTACTTTTTTTTTCTCCCCTAAGAAACAGACTTCATTTTTTTTCTCCTGTTTTTTAAAATAACCTTTTCAAGTAAATAAATATACTACTGTCTTCCTAACTCTCCATATGAATTTAAACAACAGCTTTAAATGCTGTGAGCTCCTCCCCTCAGTTCCAGTTGACTTGGAAACCTAGTGACAACAGCGTAGTTGGACATGCTTGAAATGCCATGGCAACTATCAAATTCAAATTTTGCACTACCAAGCAACCTGGAGATAAATCCACAGTTTAAGAAAATGAAAGAATCTAGTGCAACTTTGGATTGTACGCAGAGACGTAAGTAGTAACGCAGCAAGAAAGCAGTGGTAACTTACTACATAAGTATGTGATTACACTCACAAAAAAATTGAGATTTTGAGGATAACAAAATGAAATTATTACTAGGTTATTGAAATAAAAATTAGCATCATTTAAATCTGTAATATAGAAGATACTAATAAAAATATATGCCATTATTTTTCCATGTATTTTTTCTATGGAATTTTCTTAATACTATTTATTACCTCCTTGTCTTAAGACTATTTCCTAAAATCACTCTGAAAAGTCACATTGGTTTCTTCTGGTATTACATAACGCTGCAAATTCATATGGTTCAAATATGATCATTTATTACTTGGTATTTGTAAAGCATCAATACGGAGGCTCTCTACAGAAAGGGAAGAGTGAAAAATTACCTCGTATGCATCCTTAATATACGGAAAAGCTACCCCAATTTGCGGGTTGCATCTTCTATCATAAGCATACCGCACTATAGCTACCACTTTCAACTCATTCAATGCATGAACAAGGGCAGAAAAAGCAACTGCTGCATTCTGGGGGAAAAAAAAGAAAAGTCTAGAGAGTCATGTAAGTTCTCATTAGTCTGCTGAAATACATCTTTCACAGTGAATTCAACAGCATTGATTTAGTCAAGACTAGTTCCCATCTCAGCTGTAACTTCAACACAAGCATTTTCCATGTTTAAAAAATGAAGAAGCAGAAAGGTCAAATCTCATCATGATAGTGGATCCATTCAAAGCTCAGCAAACTTTAGATTCAGCACGTTCCGTCTTTTCCACTAGGTGCAAAGAGCTCTCAGAAGTATTACAAGAGAGAGAAAGGGAGGGAAGTCAGACCCTTAAAGGAACGCTACAGTGAGGTTTTTACCTCTAATATTTAAAATAATTTGGGGGTCTGTTCCAAATAACACAGCGACAGGACACACTGTTGCTCTGCATGAGAATGGACTTAAGCACCAATTCCAGGTTCCCCATGCCCTTGCACAAACATAATATTTACCAGTTTCTCATTATTCATGAGATATGGTATTCATTTGGGGTCTAATCCAACTTCTTTACATCCTAATGGGCAATGGAACAAGACCTCTGGAAGCTGATTAAGAATATTTTAACACAGAAAGAAGGGACAATTTCAAGCACCACTACTATTCTTTTCTGTTCCACAGCAAAACACCTTCAGCATTAAACTTCAGTTCACCTTACCTCATCATCTTTCCCTGCAAAGACCTTCAGAACCTGGTTGCCCATGTAGTAATGCCTCTGGATCTACAGAACCAAATGGTCAAGAGTTAGCCTGATCTAAAACAAGTGTCATTAATGTGACCAGACCAATTAAGTTATGAAACAACTAACACGTTACTCAAGTGAGAAGCCACAAAATTTAATTACTGTGCATAGAAGTTAAAGCCCTGTATATGTTTCATATCTCCATTTATCCCTCAATATGGATATTCAGTCATATTAGGCAGGATATTCTCATACTTTTCTATTAATGGGCAGGAATGAAAGACTACGGTACTTGCAGCTGAATAATACTGCAGTACGATAATACCAGTCTGAATAATACTGCAGTAATTCACGAGTCAGTGTGGAAAAACCTCAGTAGTTAACAAAAGACCGAAACCTAACTGATACTACATTTATGCTACTAAATTTTCCTAGCAGAGACATGTCAAAAAGGAGCTGAAAAAGGTCCCATCCTTAATTAATAAAGCTACTTCAACAGCAGCCTGGAGTATATACAGCTGTGCTGGCAAAGAAGCACATCTGTTAGCAGAGTTTATGCTGTTCGTGAACATGGCTGACACCCCACCCACCCCACCCCCCCAAAAAAAAAAAAGCAACAACAGTTTCATTAAGGGGCATTGCTGGAATAGCTGGAGCTACAGAGGCTGTGAAACACACCTAGAGAAACACTGCAATAGTGGAAAACCTGTCACAAGGACTGCACGCTGCTATGAACACTGGTTAAAATGACCTTTCTTTGTTAAAGAAAAATCTCTTCAAATTACACTGTCTCCAAACTGACCTGGAGTTTCATTATTTAGCAAATTACCATATGCTGTTGACGTCAGTGACAACTTGCACCAGAGCAGATCTGTTTAACGTATTACAGCACGATTCTTCAACTCAGATTATTCTACCTGCAATTATTCTTTGCTGTTCTGTCTTTAAAAGCTCAGGAAATTTTATGTTCAGTATAGTATAAATATCTAGACGTGTGTATCACTACACCTTTTTTGTTTGAAAAAAAAAAAAATGGTCCCTTTGTAATATTTTCAAGTATTATTTCTTGATTTACATGGCATTGCTTATAAATTAAAAATCAAAGTTTAAGCGGCCTCTGATCTTCTTTCCTGAGGGATGTGAATAACTCGGAAAAATAATATGAGGTGGTTCTATTCCTTCTTTAATTATGTATTTGGAGCTGTTCCAGTTTCTCCAGTTAATAATAAATTATCTTTTCTCCACAGCTTTTAAAAGAAACAATTTAATATAAAACATACATTTGAATAGTGTCAGTATTATGATTCCAAACAATAAAATTCAGGAGCCAAAACATGAGGAAAGCATGGGTCTTGAAAATTCCAACTGTAGTTGAAAACTTCCCGATATCATTATCTATACAGTGTAATTTTAATCCTGCAATCACACCTGAATAATTTTATTCCACTGAGATCTATGCAACCACTATTGGGCATAATTACTCACACTCCTCATTGCAGGACCAGAGCACATTTTATTTAAGATGTAATTCCTATCCGTTATGAAATCCACAGACAAGAGAAGCACATCATAAAAATTATCAAAAGCAATAAATATTTTGTGCATTGAAAAAAATATAAAACCAATTTGTTAATTCTTTGAGGCATATTTATGTGAATCAAAAGTACTGCTACAACTAATTATATTCCTACAATTAATTATTAATTATGTATTTGAAGGTATTACCACACTGTCTGACCAATGGTGGCAAAAGAAATCCATGTGAAATAACAGCTCACTTACAGGAGCATGATGCTTCTCATCTGTTTTCCTCTTAGTTTCTGTTTTCAATAAAAGTCAGACTTCAAGTGGAAATAGGAGGCCAGCCTCCAGCATAAGAAAATGCTGCACATGGTGAAATACATCTTACAGAATTAAATTAAGACAGTAAGACTCAGCTCTGGGCTAAGAATGCGTGTAAAGGTGCAAGAAATTGTCTCATTGAAACACTGGGTTCAGACACAACATTTCACTTGTTAGACCCAGTTTCTGGTACAGGATTTAGCAGCCCCTAAAATCTCTCTGCCCTGGGCAATTTAGGGCATATAAGCTCAAGCATGATATGTTCCTCGATCGATTACTTTCAGTACACAAGCTTCAGTGTTACTTAACAACTTTAAGTTCTGAATGTCCTCAAGGAGCAACCAGGTTACAGTTCCCATTTAGGCTGGCTTCTCATTTCAATAAATCAACATAATTTCCTAGCTCCTCAGTTAATAATATGCTTTGGACCACCGCACTGCAGTAGTCTAAGGGCATATTGAGCAACGTGCAGGGGTCTCTGTGCCACCTGTACTGTAAAGTAAAAATATGTTATATCCATTTGGGAGTAAGCTCCCACAGATACTTCTTATTTCATTAGCATCTTTCCTTCCTGGTAAAGGTAATGATTCCTCAGCCTTTGTCAAGGGTTCTAGTTTGTTCAGGCCGCGAGGCATTTCAGGGAAGAGCAGGAGGGCTGCTTTCAGAACAGAAGGCGCAGAGCTGCCCTAAGATTTTCTTTCAGTTTTGAGTGGTGAAGGGGACTGGGTGCAGTGAACTCCAAGAAGAGTAAAGTTTCAGTCACCCTGTGCAATATCCTGGAGAAGAGAGAGTGGGAGCAGCTTAACGCTTCCAGCAATTACTGGCGCTCACATCTCTGTACTTTCTGCTCATGCATCCTGCTTCAAGAAGGGTTTGTTAAGCCTTTGCCAAAGGTTTTCCTAATGCTTAAGTCCTGCATTTTCTGCAGGAAATCACCTAGTGCTGGATAGCTTTTATTAAGGTATTTGCTCAATGTAAGTTTCTTACAACTTCCAGGTAAAACGAATGGCAAAGTTAATACCACAAGTATACAGGTAAGTGCATACAAACACCAAGCATCTCATTGAAATATGCAGAGTTTTTCAATTATGTTATCTTCATCTAAGTTCTCTGAAGTCTTCGCTACATTTAGGTTTTTTTATAGTAGAAACAAGAAGCAAGTCACAGTTCACAAACTACTGGAACCCAGTACAACGCCACAACTTTAGTGAATTCAAACTGAAATCAATTGTCTTGAACAACCCAGGAAGTTGAATGGGAAGAAGTTTAGTACTGTACCTGAGAGGATCTGCTGAATCCCAAAACAGAAAAACATTTCGCTTCTGTTTTATATTTCATTTGCTCTTCATCTTCCTTGGAAAAAGGGACTATATCACTCCCATAGCGAAACCCTGGAGAACAAGAGAAGAGCATCTGGTAAGCATATGGGCTTGCAATTCTAACACTGAAATTAGCGCTCTGAATATTTTAACAACGCATGCATGCCCCACAGCTACACTCCACACATGCTCATCAAATTACTTTCCCTGTTAACAAAAAACCACACACCCCATAGACATATTTGCACTTCACGAACAGCAGTTGCACTCCTTGTACATCGTTTTATGTAACGTGGCTACCCTTGTAGAAAGCAGGAAAGAAAATAAGGGAACTGAGTATCTTGCCCAACAAAGTTATGCTCACAGAATAGATTTAAGCAAATCAGAACAGATTTCAGCAAATAGACTGCAACATTTCCTGCAAATGTAATACAAAAAACCTCAAACATATCACAAATCATGGACCGGAAATGACACCAAAAGGGATTCAGAGAACAAAATGTGTTAACAGTGGAAGTGAGATATACCCTCACATGCAATGGAAAACCAAAACACTCTTGTATGCAGAAGTGGTCTTTCTATACATTTCTGTGTTTTACTTCCCGTGCCTTACATTACAGAGGTATCTCCACAAAATAGGAAGCTGTTAGTTTCTCACAAGTATCATCTGTTCCAACTGCTGATTCCCCTACCTCAAACTACAATATCCTCCCTGTAACATCATCACTTTATTATACTGTCACAGACCAAGGATTATATCCTCAGGTGCGAAGAAAGCAGAAGGAACAAAGGTAAATCCCTGGATGAAAAATCTGTATGTAGATGCATTTTCCTGGAAACTGAAAAGCAAACACACAGGTGGAATGAAAGAAATTTCAGTATGGGTGGTTCAAATGCAAAATATTATCTAATTATGACATTTCTCAAAATGTCCACAAAAGTCCATGAAGCATCAGCAGCTCTTTAACTTGATAAAGAAATTTTTGGTCTCTTTTGTTCATATTGAACTGTTCATCACTTCTTTTTAATAGTATCCCGCAGCCACTCACCAACTTAGGCAGTCAGGACATCAGCAGAGAATGGTCACAAATGCTTCAAAATACATTCACTATAAAAAGTGGACTTTTGTTTTTTTACTAGAAGTTTTGAAGTTATAAAACATAAACAGACTCCTAGCTTTTAACTATCACTTCTGCTTAAAGACAATCACACTGTCGTCAGAACATTTTTATCTGCTACTGCTACAAAACATCTATGATTGCTACAATTGAAAGAGTTTAAATAAAAAAAATACAGTATTTATCTTCATTTCTCAATTTATTTTATTCATTTCACAGCACTTTCTATACTATTATCTGAATAGTTCTGTCCTTTATAGTTAATACACTGGCCCTACTTGCGTGGGATTGAAACAGAAAAGGAAAAAAAATTACTAACAAAATATATTTATATAATCGCAAAAAATTAAACATATTTGCTTAACTCCATTTTTAAAAATTAGACTATTTCATACTGTTTCTGGGGCCTTTAGTCTTCTAAGGAATTTAATTCCCTCAGAAAAAAGCTGAAGGTTATAAAAGAAGTATTCTGCATACCACTACTTCAGATTGAACCTGTTACGGAATTTAAACAGCAAAGCTAATAGACTCTTAAACACTAAACCTTCCTTTAATGGTTTCACCTTCCCAATTGCAGAACATCTAGAGCAGCTGCTTATCTAGAAAAAAGCAGTGTTATGAAAGTATTCATGTTACCAGTACAATGGAAGATTTGAACACACAATAGAGGTAGCAGTATAACTCACTACAAAACTGAGGTATGGTCCTCCACAGATTACAGTTTAGGAAGCTGTAGTGCCTTCCAAGTTCCACCTGGTGGTATTATTATTATTCCTATTACTGGCAAAAGTAAGAATTTTTAAAATATGTGAAGACAAAGAGTGTCACATAACAGTTTCTCTGTTCCATCAGCTTACAGAGCTTACATTCTGAGATCACAGCTAGGCTTCAAGGTATGAAAGTAAAAGGCACTTAGGTGATTTAAGAATACAAGCCATTATCTTCGGTTTGTCTTCAGGGTGCACACAAAGAAGTCATACCTTGAATAGTATCATCTTTCTGAACCTCTGTTTCATCATCGTCATTCAAGCAGTAAACAGTTTCTTTTTGCACATCATCTTTTCTGAGGGTTTTAGCATCCACAACTGTCCACATTTTTTTCACCTTCTCTTCCATGACCTTTATATCAGAATTCAAAGAAGAGGAACGCTTAACACTTCAGTGGGATCCAGAGTGCTTACCAGAACATGCAAAAAACTCTTAGACCAAGTACTGCATTATTTTGCCCATAAGGGACTAATAATGACAGCCCCAAATATGCATCTCTGACTGGTACCACAGTGCTTTCAGCACACTGTTTAATCTGTATGAGACCTAACACCTGAACTATATCATATTGACTGCATACTTGTCTTGGATATTCATTGAAGTCATGGGCTAAGTAATTTGTGGAAGTCTTTTAGTGACAGGATAACATATAACTTGCTTGCTATGTATTTTACTTCCTCCACCTACATAAACACTTTTGACAAAGCATTAAGATATATGTTAAAGATACAGGAAGACTCAGTGCTCATTCAGCTTGTTTGCCCAAGTTTTGCATCAGGCTTACTACACTACAGGATAAAAATACCCTATGTTACTGCAACTTCCCCAAAAGGCAGAAAAAGATTCCAGTTGCATTACAGGACTGGGAGGGGAAAGAAGGAATAAATATTGCAATGAGTGAATGTTTCCCAACTACAGGGAAAGAAAATGCTTTCTCTTCTCTCTACTTAAGTGAAATTAATGGTATACTTAGTGAACGAGAAGAAAAATGGAGAACTGGGCAGAAAACAGAAAAGACAGAATAGATTATGTCAGTAGGTATCACAGGTCTATTCCTAGCTCTGATCCAACTGCTGTATGACCCCAGGCTAGTCACTCAGTTCATGTTGCTTATTCTCCCAAGCTTCATTTATTTTGTGTGTAAACACCTTTGGAGAGGACTCTTACTGCACATTTGTACAGGTCTAGCACAATATCCTAATTAAAAAAAAATTTATGAATAAGTATAAATAGAAAGCTGGCAGCAGAGATCTCTTTCAAGGCTAGTATGCCTATCTCTCAGAAATCAGATATATTTCAACTTCATAACACATCTTCCTGAAACCTTGCAATATTGGCCAGACTCTTAGTCTTGCGTTCAAATAAAAAACCAATTAATCTCCATCTCACCAGATCCATCAATGCTGCCACACTATATAGTTACCTATTAATTATTCAATAACTGGAATTTTGCACATTTTCTGTGTTTAAACACACTCCTTCCTAGCACTGTGTGAAGGACCCATATAAACTGTAAGGGAAACAGACTGCACAAGCTCTGCCAAACAGTATAAACTAAACAAGCTGAAAAAATATATCTTTTTTGCCAAGTCTGAAACAACAATAGATGCGATTTGAAACAATAACTGGTAAAACATTTACACCCACCATTTTACATATACACGTGCATAATTCCTCTCATGCCTAGGGCTTCAGAAATATATATTAAATCTCACTGAGCCGCAGACATATCACTGAATGGAAAGCTTCACACAATCGCAGCGTTCTTAATCAGGTTTGTCAACTTCAATACCATTAAGTGTCACAGCATAGATGGCAATTACTTCTATTTCCGTACATCGTGAATTTTAGTTCTTTAACATATGTGTACAATATGGTGAAGTTAAGAGTTGCTGTGGGAACCACAGTTCTAGATATACTGGCTTCTATGCACGTAAAATCTCTACCATAATTATTTTGGATGTTGTTTTATCTTTTATTTTCTTAGCTTTAAGGAAAAAACATGCAGCTGCACCTAACTTGCTGCCAAAATACACTAAACCAGACGATTTTATGGACTTACTGATTTGTAGGCCACAATCCTTATAGACAAATTAGAACCAATAGTGAGCTGGCAGGGCCAAGCCATAGATCTTCTTTCTATTTTCTTAAACATCGAAAGACGCTCCAGGCTCTCTCTAAATGAAGGAATCGGGAAAACAGAAATGAACTCTGGTGAACTGTAATAAAATATTACAGACAATACACTCTCTTCAAGGAGATGCAGGAGTCCAATTGTTTCAGCTTAGACTGCACCAAGCGTTAGAAAAGAAACTGTATGAATAATCTTGTAATTAACTATTGTCAGAAAAGAGAATGAAAAAAAGAGGTGTTACAGTAGATTATTCCCATCTCGAGCCTTTGTGATGGTGTGACATTAGGGCTTAAAGGCAGTATGTTAGGTCTTGTGATGAAACTACACAGTCGCTTATTAAGCATTTTACATTTATCTGTGCTTACCCAATTAGGGCACGCAGTTAGCTAAATAACCCAAATTAGAAAAGGCTTCTTTTAAGTGGTAAAATGTTTTCTCCAGTGGAGGTGAAGAAATAAAGAATCCAGTTTCAATTAACAGGACTTTGTTTGTGAGGTAATTAACTTTTGACACTTTTTTTTTTTAATATACAGTACTAATGAACTCATTATTTTCAGGGCATTCGGTTAGAGTGAAACAAGTTACTCGGAATATTTCTAGCCTAAATAGCATATATGCAAGTTCATAAAACACAAAAAAAATCTGTAATGATTTTATTCTAAAGAGCATTAACTCAATTGCACAACTTTAAGCAATGGAGTCCAAAAATTAAAAATTGACAGTAAAAGTAATTTATAATACATTATTGTGAAATCAAATAGGCTTGCACCCCAGAACAGCTTTCAGCTAATACAAACTGTGTCAGCTATTTTGCTATAAAATTCCAGTTCAGAGAAAGCGATCATAATTTTTTTTTATTGCATGATGAAGCAGAGATAAAACAGTGTTGACCTCATCTTTTTCACTTGATGATAAAACCCAAAATCTACCTCTCTCTTGATTAAAGCACTTGTCTGGCAGAAGTCAAGAGTAACTCCTAAAAACATTAGTACAGAATTCAACTTGGTATTCTACTTTTTAACTTTATTAGGATGAGCAGGGTCTTTTTGAAAATTCTAACAGAAGCACAATGAAAGGAGAAAATGCACTGGGTTTTTTATAATGAGGTAAGCATTGTATTTCCTTTTTTTTTTTTTTTTCCTTGGGGAAAGGAAGGAAGGGAGGAAAAATTACTTTTTCTGGCAATAGAGACATCAATATAGGATTTTTAAAAAGAACCTGTTACTACATCATTAAAACTACTGCAACACATACATTCAAGGATGAATATGAAAATCAAATACCTAAATGTCAAATGCCTAAAAATGTCATTTAAGCTCAATTTATTAACTCTATTCTTTAATTTCTTATATTTATAGAAGAAAAATGCTCCCTGTTATCAAAGAAGACTCAGCCAATAAAACCCTAGTAAATGCACATTTCAACTTGTATTTTAAAAACATGTCTCGTCTCTGCTCCTCCCATCCCTTCCCCCAAAACCCAGAGGCAGCAGAAGTACCTCCTGTCCAATAGTCAGAATATCAAACTCTAAAACAATACAACAAAATTTTCTCACTTGCTTTCCTGGCATAACTAATTTATTTTCACAAGAGTTGAAATATTTTTACCAGCAGGAAGGAAAACAGAGAGTGTATCTGAGTTGGTAAATTATCATGACAGATTTGCAAGGCTGACTTCTTAAAGCTTGATAAGCAACTTAACTGCATCTAAAACCTCACACGTTCTTAAACAAATTTAACAACTAAAGCTTTAATCTATTAGCCAAACGCCTATTTATCCAAAGATTTTGGACTTCCCCTGAAAGCATGGTACAAAGACAGCTTATACGGTAGCAAAAGCCTGCGATAAAAAAAATATAAAGAAGGGGCCAAGCCACATAGTAGCTTCATGCATATGGACTACTCTAAAGATAAATGGACCCAGAAAGATATTGCTTTTCTGTGCTGTCTTTCGATGCAATGACAAAGCCTGCTTTTTTCGAGAGACTTAGACTGCTCTGTTGACTAGTATGGAATACATACACAGTGATGCATGTTTCTTCACTAATGCACATAATGCTCAAGTAACAGTTTAACCGGCTGCTGAGGTGCAAAGCAGATCAGTTGGGCAGGGTGAGGGAAGGAAATCCCACAAAAAATTATAAATAACAGCATGTAAACCTACAGGTACCTCATCTAAAAATTACACTTGATAATCACATTACAGCTATGGTCTACTAAGTTTCCTGAAAAACTCGTTGTCTAAAAGATCACACTTCATAATTGTAGAATAGAACTACTAAGACAATAAAATCAGACTTTTATAAGGCATATAGATGCATTTTGCTTGTTTCCCAACCGAGACAACACCTATGTGGAAAAGTCTTGGATATATCATTAGCTACAGTTTTTCAGAGACATATATATTTTTATTCTTTCATTGAGGAAACATGAAGTGAAAAACCATCCTTCAATTCTTGCATTAGGAATGCTGCTAAAAAAGTATATTGTTTGGCACAATGGCACAGTAGTCTGTGATTAAACAGCAGGATTCAACAAACAACATTACTCAAAACATTTGTGGGAGTCTGATAAACAAGTGAGCTAAAAGAAGTCTGAGACCAAGGTAAAAAGGCTACCATTAAATGCAAATATTCTACCTGCACTATGTCACAAATTCCAACTCTTTCCAAAACCAAAACATGCTTTTGAAACCTCATTTATAGAAACATTCCCTCCAAAATCCACCAACACTAAAGATGGAAGAAAAATGATTTTTTTCTTTAAATGTAGATATAGAAAATTCATTTTCCACTGAAATCTGTAAGATTTTCTACCTATTCTAAAGCCACTGAAGCAGCTGTTTGAAAGGGACTGAGTGTACAATAAGTTACAAAATTCACTGACTTCAGTGAAACTGGAAGCCAACTGACTGATTATTCAATTTCATCTTTTGGGGAAGAAATCAGAAAGTAAATTTACAGTGTGATAAAGAGGATTAGCCAAGTTTACCTGAAAGTATAAATTTCTTCCAGCCCTCCTTCTTCGTCCAAAGTATGCATCAGTTTCCTCACCACATGAATGCCTTCATTCTGTTGCTCAGTTAAACCCTTTCTTGGAAAAGAGTTTCTGTGCACTTGAGAACATACACTGGCACTTGTATCTCCACCTCCATCAACATCCACTGGAAATGGCAGACTAAGAACACAAGTAGAAGCAGTTAGTTTGACGTTATTCTTAATTAAAATAACCAACCAAAACCAAAACAAAAATTCTATCAGGATCAACAATCAGATGTATAAAGAGCCACATGACTTGTGAAACACATGAAGTAGTATTTCAGGTCTACTTGGCATTGGTAACATCTTGACCAGAGTGCTGCACCAGTTCTGGGCATCATACGTCAATAAAGATGTGCACATACAGGAAGGGATTAGGGAGTAAAGACAACGATGATTAGAAAACAAGATCTATGAAAAAAGATTGAACAAAATACAGCCTGTAGAGAAGGGAGTCAGAAGGCAAGACAGTCTTAAATATAAAAGGCTGTTGCAGAGAGAAAGGGAACAATCGGTTCTTCATACTCAGCCTGCACTCAAATTACATCATGGAGTCAGGTCAGATATTCAAAAACCTGATAAAGGTATTTCAAACCATAATCTCTAAAACCAACAGCCTGAGGAGATAGAAGAGACTCCATCACTGGAAACCTTTATAAAAAGATTTGGCAAACACTGCTTAGCAAGGACATACGTACAACTGACCCAGTCTGAAGCAGAGGATTGCTCTAGATGACTTATTAAAGGCCATTCCAGGCCTGTGATTCTGTATCGGCTCTAAATGCCAGCAAATGGGCCCTTCTCTGCAGTGGGGCTATTATGTATTTCTGGAGTAAATGTTACTCTTTGAGATTTTAATAGCTTACAACACTAGGTGAATTCCTGACTGAAGATGACACGTTTTCCTGCACTTCAACAATCAGATTTAAAAATTTAGCCAGGGGTTATAGATAAAATGATTTTGCTGCTCTTCATAACAGAGTTAACTAAGTGTAATAACCACAGAAAAGAGAGATGTGTAAGAACCTCTACTCTGTGCCCCCGACAATGACTGCAGATTTTTCAAACCTTTCATCTGATCCAATTTTGAAGAAACCACATGATACCTTTTACCACATTTCCACAAAGTAAAAGAATTTTAGCATTTTACTATGTTTTCAAAAAAACAGCCTACAGATCTCTACGTTACTTTCACCTCATTAGTCCTCACTAAACTTATCTGTGGAACAACATACAATAAGCAGAGTTAACAATATGCACAACAATGTCACATACAGAAGAGTTAAAAACTAAAGTTCAGCAAAGTGTTTGGTACCTTTTTAGGAAGCAGATCCACTGACAAAGAGAAACTGTATTTTAAAGCCGTTACGAAAGCAAAAAGCTTCAAACCTCTGATACATAAAAGTTAGATTACTTTCATTATACAGTACTTAGAGACTCCTGTGATGAGACCTGTGTAATTCCCAAAGCTACACAGTGCTCAGCATGTGCTCGGTGCTTGGTAACAGGGAGGAAAACCAACTATCTACCACAAGTTACAACCTAATCAGTAAACAGGGTGTAAGAGATGGAAGCATGGGTTATAACAAAAGGACAAGGTTTAGCAAGAAATTATTTTTAAACCAGTATCCTGAGTATTTTACATTTGTACATGTACTTCTCAAAGCATCATTTGCTCGTGTGGCTGGGAGACAGGGTGTAAATCTGCAGTTGATGCTGTAACAGCAACATTTCCCTAGTGCTCCTATTAGCCATGGGGCTTTTTCCTTTGCTATATTTCAGACAAAGAAAATGTAAAGATGCATCAGAAATCTCACAAAATAAAATTGCAACTTGTGGTAGTAGCATCTGTCCTAGTCTGCATAGCAAACTACAGGTATGGAGACAAGGTAGCAAGGGCTAAATACCAGGTCTCTGAAAGATGTAACTCTGGCTGGCAGCATGTACTCAGGTTCATGGTATCGTGTCTCCGCTGCCTCCAGGGCCAGCAATAGCTCAAATAACCTAGAAGGGGCACGTCAAGGCATGTTGCAAGCATACCTTCTTTTGCTGTGTAGACAGAACTTGAGAGTAGTCTGACATTTTCACATTCAGCCTCTCCCAAGCACAGGCAAAAAAGAATTTTTCTGTGGAGGATCAGCCCATGATTTTCAGTCACACTTTGCTACCTAAGCCCTCTGTTATCTTGCAGGTGGGTCCGCAAATGGCTTTAATGAATTTGTCAAGTTCACAACATTGCTCCTTACAGAATGCTGGATCTAGGTGACAGTAAATATTAAAATGGTCAGAAGTAAAACTGTGGCTTTAACTTTCTTCTGTGAAATTATTTGTTATAAACAGCAAAAATTAACATTCACACAAAGTTTTGCTTTTAAATAAACTCCTACTAGAAGACCTATAGCTTCCTATGTTACCATCATGTGCAACAACTAATACAGATCCCAGCACCACCACTGATTCTTCAGATGAATGCCTATACCAAGACAGCCAAGGGATTCCTGTCGTAACATGTAAGACATTGCTTTCATTTTCCGCTTCCAGTTCCCAAGTCCATCACTGTGAATATAACCCTTCTCTTCAGACTTGCTTTTCTACTGACACCAGAATCAGGCTATAAACATCTGCAACGCTATCTCGTTATTTCTTCCCAGTAACTCCCTTACCTAAAAGGATCTAGGCTGTTGCTGTGACAAAATCACTGCTTCTGAGGCTATTTCTGGCTCATTGTTTCCCACTTCTCTGCTTATACAGATCTTTTGTCTCCCGTTTCAGACTTTGGCTCTAAGCTATAAACTTAACTGGAGAAGAAGCCACCATCTTAATATGTATTTGCACATCACTTAAACAAGGGGATTTGGTTCATAACTGGAATTCACGGCATGTGTAATTGATATAAGTACTTATAACAATCATATTACTTACTGGTACACCTCTGTAGAAACAATACACCAACAGATCACCAGCTCCTTCAAGATCATTATTAAGAAAGAATAATAATTTCCCTTTAAAAAAATGGCAGAGTGTATAACAGCCACTTCCATACTTACAAAAACTGAAGTGAAATTCCTGTTTTCTTCAAGTTAGCAATGATAATTTCCAGCTGATCCTCACTGACAGGACTACTAAGGTCTGTAAACAGTTCAATGTGTCTCTTCTCGTATTTCTTCCCTCTTAAAATACAAAAAGAACATTTACATATACTGGAAATATCTAGAAGGCCTTTTTCTAATTCTTTCCTTACAAAACTGAAGCTTCATCAAAGTAATATACTTGTAAAAAAATAAACAAACAAACCTACTTGGTAGAAGTTGTTCTATCATCGCTCATACTATTTACGGTAAGTTTTTATCTTTATATGATTCCCCCTACTCACTCCTACCCCCTAAAATTGAGGGCTCTAGCATATTAAAATATGTTAGGTTGTTTATTGATTATACTGGGTTTTTCCTTTGCAGCTTAAGTCTGTCCTTGTGAAAACAAAAATGTATTTTAAATTACTACTGCTGGCGGGGGTTCCATTTTAGTAAGCTAATTCAGTAGATTCATTGGCTCTAGCCCTGTGACTGTATAAATCACTAATTAAATGAATGGAATTCTGCCAATTTTCACCAACGTAGATAAAATGCTACTAAAATATGTTAGGTTGTTTATTGATTATACTGGGTTTTTCCTTTGCAGCTTAAGTCTGTCCTTGTGAAAACAAAAATGTATTTTAAATTACTACTGCTGGCGGGGGTTCCATTTTAGTAAGCTAATTCAGTAGATTCATTGGATGAGATGGACTTCAAAGCCTACTTAATACGCTAAGTAGTAGTAACAATAACCTGCCAGCTACAGAAAAAAATTCAGTTAAACTGATATAGTTTTTATCTGGATATTCAGCATAACGGTGATTTTCTTGAATTTTTACCCAGTAGTATTTTCTCAGCTGAAGCCCGTATCAAAGGGGTTAGTGCATACAAGCAACTTACCCACAAGATAACGAAAGCAGTTCCTCCACAGATATTCAAGGTTATACTGCCATAAATGCAATGATTTTAATTTACAACTCAGTTTTAACCATTAAATTGATACAGCTCTCCATGCCGATTAGACTTCAATCATAAAAATACAAATTGCATCACTAAGTCTAGTCTTCTGCTTTCACAACTAGATCATATAATCTTTTTAACAACATGTTCAATCTGTGTTTTGAGAGGAAGTAAGGCTGTCTTCCCTGGACCGTCAGTCAGTCCACTGAGTGTTAGAAACAGTCACATTTCCAGTTGTCCATTCATTGACAACTTTGTAACACTTGTGCCAACATTTTCTTTCAGCTTAAACAGTGTTTTTTCCTACTGCACGTTTATCTCCCACACCCTGCATATTTACAAACAGCCACCTTATCTCCAACAGCCTTTAAGTTGCTAGGCTTAACAAACTCACCTTTCTAGTTTTGTTTTCTTTTTTTCTTTGTAAGATATGCCATCACCCTTACAAATTTGGTAGCCCTTTTCTATGCATTTTAGCATCTGAATTAATGTTTTTTGAAAACAGATCACAAGAAATGTGACACTAAGTGAAGTCTTTGTGCCTTGTATAATGGCATTAATATTCTCATGAATCTACTGCAAAGTTCCCAGTTGCATCAGAAAGCTCTTAAATTGTCTGGAGAAGCTAGATGTCTCCTGGGGATTCTTCAGGGACAGACTCCTGCAGTGTCTTGTTTGCTTTTAATTTTTTTTTTTTTTAAAAGCATTTTCCTTATTTATATAATACTGGAAATGTAATACTGACAAGAAATCAGATCAGCTCCAAAGTGCAAGATCAGAATTCTGTAAAAGGCTTTGAGTTACATACTCACATTGTTTCCTTCTGAAGCAAGTCCATACACACAATAATTGCATCCAGAACTAAGCGAATTTAAGAAAAATCTCATCTAGAACATGAATCGTGTCACAAAAGTGTTTTTCCTATGAAACAATCTTCCGTTTTCACTCCCTCCCAAACACTGACAAACACGCATTTTAGTTAACAAGCAAACAATTTTTTCAGACAAGTACTCTTCAATATCTACTGTGCAAGAGGTTCCTATATAACTTGTCTGTTTTGTGATCTTGTCTCTTCCCCATTTATCTGATGGAACAGTAAAAAGACTGCTTCAGGGCCCAATCTTAACTGTCAATGAGGAGGCTCAAGTCCAATGAAAGAGCAATCTAGTCTTTACAACGTTACTTTGAATCCACAAACAAAATTTACTTGTCCTTTCAATACCTGACACCATTTTCTCATGCAAGTTTTCCTTCAAAACATCTGCATCTGGTGATCTCTTGATAGTTTCTTCCTCACCACAGTTTTTATTGGGAATGTATTTTTATCACTGCGCACAAACCTGCCCACCGATTGAAGAAGGAACATGACTCTGCTTTTGCTAAGATACAGCTAACTGGCTGCACATTTCTCTGAAACAGCTCTGACAGTCTGAACAGAGTTCACTACCATCATTTTATGGCCAGAAAGAAGAGGGAAGACAACACGGGAAGTTAGAACAGTATGTAAATGAAACACACAAAGGGACACTATAGAGATCGCCTTCTTTTAAAACACTTCACCTTATGCAGCTAACAACAGAACACATTCAAACACGAACAACATTCAAACCAGCAAGTGACATTTGGCAATGTTAGAAATACTTTATATAGAAATCAATCTGATAAACCTCTATTCTGCTTCATCTGGCTTCTGGTATTTCTGCTGACATATTTTGTAAACAATATTTTTATTTGATGAAAAAGCATAAACAAAGTTCTGCAACACTATTTTTAAAAACACGTGCCTTATTTGAGGCCTAAAATTATATTATTGCTATCTTTGTTCTCTTTAATTAACAGAACACTTCATAAAAGCAACGATTCCCTAAGGCCAAAACTCCATCTGCTAGCCTAAAAGAATGTGAAAAAGCAGCTAATCTGCTTTTGAACAAACTTAGAACCACAAATTAGCTGAACTCTGATAGTAGTTAAAACTTCAGAGGCAAATCTGAGCCCATTTCACAACACTAACTTCCTGTCTCCTTATGTAGCTGAATCAGTTCAAGAAGAGCTCTACAACGAAAGGATACAGTCTGCTTGTTCAGAGCCTGGTTTAATCACATCTTGAATGTCTTCCAGCAGATCAAAATCTGGTAGCATTAGTGATCTATGTACAGTAATGTTTTGGTATTGATCCTCACTGGCAAGGTCATTCCCAGTACCATCTGTGCCAAACAAAACTACAGCGACTTCATCTTTACTCTCAGCAAAAACCTGGAAACAGAAAAAGTACAAAACAGGTATAAAAACACAGGTAGACTCATACACAGCTATGTTAGGTAGACTCGAGCAAGCTGAACTAATCTTGAAGCAATGTCAAGTACAGTGGATTTACTTTTTCCTACTTTTTCAGTGCTATCCTACCAAAATGTAATCTTACAGAGAGTTCACTAATTTAGATATAATTGAACTAGCAGACTGACATGAGGATATCTGGCATAAAACCAGTAAAATTGGCCGACTCAGTCCTTGAAATGCGTTTTCAGTATGGTAAATCTTAAGAAGGTTGAAACATTTTAGAGAAAGAGAAGAGTACTTTTTTCCCCTAAAAGTTTCTACTGCCCTAAAGAAAAAGAGTGACCAATCCAACTGCCACATCTCCACAAAAGTACAGCTGAAACAAAGAGCACTGTTACTCCTGCTAAAACTGGACTAATTCTTACTCATTTCTCATTTATTTCAGTATTAGTAAATGAGGAAAATATTTCACAAACGTCATTACTTTCTCTCCCTTTTTAACAGTTTTTAATCACATGTAAAGTCACACATACCTGTCGCTGCACAAACTTTGTCATAACCTTCTTGGCTTGTTCAAGCGAAGACTCCTCACCAGAGGCAGAACTGCCCATTGAAAAGCCTACATCCAGGCACAGCACTATAGCTGCCTAGAAAGGAAAGACAATACTGAAAAAGAATGTAAAAGGGCCAATAAAAGCATAATTACTTAAAAGGGCTAGTTCAGATCCTTGAACACACAAAACCTAAAAATCAAACTATGTCACTATTGGTTTCTTTTACAGTAACTGTTAATCCTTACTGAACTGAGAATCATTTAATCCTGTACCATGTTCCAGGCATCCCAGTGGAAAATACAAAAAATCCTACGTTACACAATAATATGTTGAGGGGCAATTTCTGTTCAACCCCGTGAACATGTTAGGGATCTAGGGGCTCACTAGGAAATAAAACAGAGATATTTCAGTTGACAATTACCAGCACAACACAAGGTGGATATACAAGCTTGTTCCCTAAACTCTACAGCTACATCCACCCCTCGCAGTAGCTCCTAATAGCTGTAGACCACTGTTTGGTCTAACCCAAGAACATAAGAATGACTGCACTCCTATGGCTTCCAGAACATTTATTGCTACTGGAGGTGTCTCTGCAGTGAGCACTGGTGCCTGCAGCGTGCAGCTATGCTCGTAACGCCTCAGAAGGATGAACTCCGATTTCAGCTTAGGGGCTTAAATCCCACAAGCTAGCATAGGTGTTTGCATTTCTGATCATTGGTTTAACTGATCTATAAATAACAGTGCCCAAGTCTTCCCCTTAATTGATTTATAAACTAGCATATGAATAAAATAAAATTTCTTCTTGTGATTTCTCTTGTTCAACATTTATTAATAATTAATATTACCTGCAGTGTGTTGCCCATTCAACTGGTTTTGCTAAGTTCCTTTAAAGTCTTCCACAGACTCTAATTATCTTGAATAACCTAAGTAATTTTACCATCCAGCTGAATGAAGCTACAAGAGGATTCAGCAAAATTATGTCCTGCATTTCCAAGGACACTGACAAAAGGCCAGCTCAAATTTATTGTCACTGATTAAACCAAGGTTCTTTAAATATACATCAAAATCTTGCCTGGTGGACAACCAGTAGCTTAAATTACACTGCATACAAAAATTATTGTTTGCCAGAACAAAGGAAAGTTATGTATTACCTAGTTCGGAGCCAATCACCCTGTTTTAAAATACAAAATATATGCAGTTCTCTAAGAAGTGAAGCTGCCAAAAGGATGTGGGCAATAAATCAGAAGATTGAGAATCAAGCAACACGGGATGCATAGTCTGCTATTGCAAAACAAAAAGGATGAACAGGAAGAAAACTTGTTGGTCTAAGCTCTTTTGCATATGACCATACAAGTAACTCCAAGTACCTTTTTAAACATCAACCAAAAGAACCTGATTCTTTTTGTCACCCAGATACTTCTTAATATCAAGTTTATAGGAATAATTTGCCCAGATTAGCTGTCTAATGCTCTGTATTAGCAGCTCTCAAACTATTTTTTTATCCTCCTCATCTTTCCAACATATATTGTGCACCTCCCCTGTCATTTTAACAAGCAGCAGTTGAACTCCTCAGAATGAAGAAAGAAAGAAGACTTAGCAACAGGACTCCACAAGACATCCAGCAGGTTATACTCGGTCTCAGCACTCTCTTCCTCACTCTGCCTTCACTGGTGGCTTGCCTGGGAGCCAGGAATTAATGCCTCTGAGTCAGCTAGGTCTGCAGAAGCTTAGAGTGGAATAGAGGCAGTACCTGGGGCTGCACTAGGTTCTCACAAGAGTCTTGTTACTGCTCACCTGCCAGCCTGAGGAATTACTCTACCAGCTTCAGTAACTGCAGACCCTCTGCTTGTTGCTGTCCTGCCTCAAGACACACCATGGCTGTCAGCTGAATTAATCCTGTTGTCCAAACCAGGTAAAATGGTCTTCACAGCTAACAGGACGACAGCAAACAGGACGACAGCAAAGGAACTGAGCAGGTGCAGGAGCGAAGAGCTGCTGTTTTGCTTGAGAGAAAATGATCAAGTGTGAAGTGCTCACATGCTCTTCTGGAAGGCAGCAAATTCCAAGCCCGGTGACTATTCAGGTACATGGAATCCTCCTTCAGGAAGAGAGCAGGTCTCTCTTTTGGTAATCCTCCTCTATATGTCTCTTCATCTGTTATTGACGTCTGTGCCTCTCACCTCTGAGCATCCAGTACTGCCATTTTCAGGTGCAGTATACTAAGGTACGCTTTTAAGATACTCAGCATGTGTGATTGTAGGACAACATTGTCACACCTCAGTTAACATCAATCTGCTTTGCTCAAGTACTGATAAGGACGAAAAAAAACAGAATGAGCCTGCCTTTATCTCCAACCTCTCAGTGCTGAAGCTAGTTATGATAAAGCTAAGAGAGATATGGCTACAGCAGCACTTTAGCCTGCAGCACAGACAAAGCTTATGTTTAACAGATACTAAACTGCCCTGTATCAGAAGAGAGCTTGACACAGCTTTCACCAACATGATTCCTTAAAAATACCAGACGAACAAACTGCATTTTTAACAGGGCAAAACCATTTCTACTATTGTTTTAGCAAAAGCAATGGCAATTACTACTGTGGTAGTTGCACTACGCTCAAAACCGCAGCTGCCCCCGAGACAGGAATACTGAAGTCCCTTTGAATTAAACAGCTTTGTACCAGCAGCAACTCGGAGGTCGGCACAGGGAGGAGGGACTCGGTTTCAGAGACGGGTTTTGCAGCCCTGGCTCTTGTGCCGTTTGCTACTAATACCGAAGTCAGCTCACGGAAGACAAGCCAGGCCGGTTCCGCCCCACGCTGACTGCGATACAGCCAAGCCACCTAAGGGCAGTAAAGCCAATTCCCTCAGGTGAGCATAAGCGGACCGGCCACGTTCAGCTCGCAGAAAGGCACTACCGGAACCACCCCGAGGCGCCGTCAGAACCCTCACAGCGAGCACAGGGCCGCGCAAACACCCACGGCCACAAGCGGCCGCCCAGGGCCAAAGCTTAAATAGCGCTCGCGCTACAGGCGGGCAACGGCGGCCTCGGCCCGC